AAGGCAACCTTGCTGAAAAAACAACAACAACCCAAAGTACAGTTAATTATTTTGTGTATACTAACCCTAACCAGACATAATGCAATAGGATCTCAGCAACATGACTACAGAAAGAAAAAAGCTTATCAAAAGTAGTACATAATCAAGTTCATAAATATTTTGAATCTAATTAATTTGGCTGGGAAATTACCCCAAAAAAGATAATTTAAAGTCATTATAGTTTTAAATGAGAAAAGCTTCAAATAGACATTAATTTAGCTTTAGAAAGAAATATTTTACTTTATTCAACATAGAATTTATTACACAAACTTTTAGGCTACAATGGGCATGTGTTTTTTTCTTCTCAAAAGCTTCATCTGAATTGGTATTTAGACATATTTACAGACCAACACACTTTGGTTACCAACATTCTTCAAAATATCTTTTTATGTTCTCCAAAAGAAAGTCATACATGTTTGAAACTACATGAGGGTGAGTAAATATAAACAAACAGAATTTTCATTTTTGTGCAAACTATCCCCAAAATATGAAATATTTTTAAAGGGTAACTAAACCCTAAAATAACTTGTTAATGATCTGAAAGACTAGGGCTTTATTAATGCTGTTCATCGATTCGAGTAAATGTTTTGACATTTGGGCATAAAGTGTTTTAAAGGGGCACTTGGCAACTCTAGTCATTTCTTCGCTGATTTTCACTTTTGTTGTCGCATGTTTTCTCTTCGAGCTCCCCCTACAGCTGTGCGGCGTATATTTTCACAACACTGTCATAAAAAAACTAACTTGCGGCACCTTCCTCCCGCTTTCTACCGCTGCTCATGTGCATTTGTTATTATCGGAGCCGGCCAACTTTATCGTGTGGATCTATGTCTACCGAGTGGGTAATACATCATACACAGTATCATAAAATTATGTCAAATTGCCACGAAGCAGTTCGTGTTACTCGCTCGTTCTCGCTTCTCACGAGACTTCTATTTCCAACTTACCGGGACGTTAGTCCCCATGTTGCAAGGTTGGTTTTCTGCCTGGGGACGCTGGGGGTAGCGGGGAAAGTCACCATTGTCTCCAGAACAGGTTATTGAACCATTCAAATGATTTCTAAATGGTTTTATTAAGTTGAAATAGTTGCCAAGTGCCCCTTAACAATATATGGAGTAAAAACATCTTAGTGCTGCCCTCTTCAGGTTGAACGGTGGCTACTGCAGTTGAATTTTCCTATTGGACGTTGTGGTGCCCTGTGACGTAATCAGGCACCAGCTCACCACGCCCTTGCCTACAGAGAGATGCGGAGTCAGGCTCTGACCAGGGGTTGAGTTACCCTTTAATGAAATGATAGTCTAAATAAGAAACTAAATCTGCCAATAGGTAAATGTCTAAATGAATAAGTTATTGAGTCATTCATTCATTCGATTAGTTGAAACGACTGATTTATTCAGGAAAAGTAAATGGCTCTCTTTATGAATGATTAAAAATACAAAAAAGGTTGTGCACATCCCAAACACCCTAATTGGGCTCAGGTGCAGGACAACAATACATTTGTTTGGAGCTGCTATTTTTTAGTGTGTTGACTTCACGCTTCTTTTCTCTTTATGAATGGGACATTGATTCACCAGATTGGCTCAAAACACAGATTCATTCCAAAATTGAACACCACTGTGTGTTGCTTGTGCACAACAGCTCTGCTCTGGTTTTATATGTAATATTTTCGTTGGCAAAATTTAGCAAAAACAGTGTCTAAAATAAAACACAATATTAACATGATTTTATGCAACATTTCAATAAATCAAAAACAGCACTTTTGCAATACTGCGCTCATTTCTTGTGTGCTATTGCTTAACTATATCATATGATATAAATATGAGACAATAAAGATATAAATATTTAGAATTTTAGAGGCATTCTAATTGCATTCTATAGGCTCCATCACAGAGCGAGTTGCTGCCCTGCTTCGTTCACCAATCAACTGTATGAAATGTTGGATGAACTACCTAGGTCTTGGGCAGGTGCAGTAAATAATTTTAACAATATTTTATCATAACCAACTAATTAAATTAACGTGTTAAATTAACAGGCCTAGTTAGGACACGGTGTGTGTCGCACCTTATCCTTGTCCAATGTTTGTACGATTCTTTGTACTCGTTTAGACGTGTTGCCGTCTTCAAAAAGTTGCGTTATGTGCACTTTAAGCACACACTAAGTACTAGCTTACTCGTAAAAACCAAAGTATACATTGGGCTTTAGAAGTTCACTGGAATGGCATTTACCTGATACAGGTGTTGGGAGGAGAGGTGAGACTGCTGTGATGCTGGGAGAGGAGATGGAGCTCATGGATGTGGAGAGGCTCTGGGAGGTGTGTGTGGCTGTAGTGCTGTTGACTGCCGCTGGGAGGCTGATGGAAGGACCGGGCCCGGTGGAACCTCCACTGGCTGCTGCTGCCGCCGCCGCTGCCTGGCTCAGCATCATTGGACCCAACTCAGCCTGCTGGATCACCTTCACGCCTTCAGGCTTCGTCCAGGACGACTCCCTTGTACGTGCATTGTAATAATACACCTGAATAGGAAACAGAAACAAGAAACAGAAACAAACTTTGTTGTATTATTTTCATGTTATCACTGTGAAGCTGCTTTGATACAATCTGTATTGTAAAAAGCGCTATATAAATAAAGGTGACTTGACTTGAAAGGAGAAGGTGAACAGAAAGAAAAGCAAACAGAAAAGGACTATAAATCAAACTGTGTGCACTGTAAAGAAAGTAACAATGTATTCTGTTATAGTATCAACGGCATCAAGTAAAGAGACTAACAATGCAACAGTGCATTGAGCTTGTGATTTGGCTGGGAAAATACAAGGCATCGTGAACCCCAAAAATCCATTATGCAATATCCTACTGATTATGCATTCATTTGTTATGCAAAATACAAGTATTGATATGTTTTTCAGTTGTAGAAATTGCCTCTCCAATTACATAAAACCTTTAGCATATTTATATAAAAAATATTATTTAAAATATATAATATACACTAGTTCAAAGGTTGTTTTTTATTCAGCAAGAAAAGGCATTTATAATGTTACAAAATTCTATTTAAAATAAATGCTGTTCTTTTGAACTTTCTATTAATTTTGAGCTGTTTCAACATTGATAATAATAAATTAAATGTTTCTTGAGCACCAATTTAGCGTATAAGAATTATTTCAGGATGATCATGCAACATTAAAGAAGACTGGAGTAATGGTGAAAATTCAGCTTTGACGTCAAAGAAATAAAGTACATTTTGGAATACATTAAAATAGAAAAAAATATATTTTAAAACCTTGGTGAGCAAATAACATCAAACATAAAATACGCTTCTTTCAAAAACATTTAAAATTCTTTCCGACTCCATACCTATGAAAGGTAGTGTTTAAGAAATAACTATACTCCTGATATAATGTTGTCAGAACAAATATTTGCTCTCTTAAACAAATCCTCAAGACTTTTAGAACAAGAAATAGCAAGATTACAACTCTCTGCATACGAAGTAAAAATAACACAAGCCACCTTCCCTTTGGGAATCAACAGTATTTCAGTCCATTAAGAAACTATACCTTTCCTTCTGGACTCTTATTCTCCACCCAGATCTCTTCTGTGGAGGGCAGGGAAGGAGGAGCAGGAGCAGGAGAGGCTGTAGGTGGTATTCCTGGAGGGAAAATCATGCCAGGTGGAGGTGGCATGGATCCTCCGGGCGGAGGCATAAACGGGGGTCTCTTAAATTGAAAGTAATTTATGTCAGAGAAACCTTCCAAACACCCAACCTTCTCTTTCTATTCCAATTAACACGAAGTTGAGGAATTACACAATAAACGGCATCTGATATACTACTATTCATACCTGTAAAGGTGGGGCACCCATTGGAGGGGGCACACTGGGGTCAAAGGGGATCCGTCCGAAGGGCGGTCGGGCAGCGGGTGGAGGACCCCTCATCATAGCAAAGGGAGGCACAGGGGTGCTCAGTAAAGGCTGCCTGCGGGTGGAGGTGGTGGCAGGAGGAGGTGCAGTGGCAGGGAAACGCAGTGCTGGCTGCTGGGCCATGCTGGTGGAGCGAAAATAAACTTTAACAAATAATATCTGTACAGTACACAACGACTACTGCAGACAGACCAGTTAACTCATTCTTACGAACCATAATCCCGTTTAAACCTTCCTGAGTTGACATAACAGACTTCATATGATGTGCATTTGTATCTAAAACCACGTTCTATAACCTGAAGTGTAATGAAAAAATCAAGAAATAACGGTATAAGAACAATCAGTCGTGTGTTGTTACGCTGCTTTCATTGTCCACGAAACAACAGGCCAAACGAGGCTTTAAAAAGATTCAGATTAGCCAACTGGGAAACACTACCCAGTTGACTATTAAGGAAAAAACAAGACTAAGTATAACTGGTCGTTCGTGTTAACCGGTGTATGAAATATAATGCAAAATCCGCACCTGTTAGCGGCCAGGCCAATGCCTTCTGCCTCTGTGTGCTCCGCCATAACGGGAATAGTAAAACAAATTAAAAGTCCCCTTGACGCATTTCCGTTGGAGTCCCGTTCACGGCCACCGAATGGTTTTCAAAGTCATGAAAGCTGATACCTTTACATTTCAAATCATTTTGAATAATCAATATATTTTTAATTGAATTGGTTGTAAATATATTCTCCCCCAAACTGGTTTCATCAGGACAATGTTTTAATTTAATTTGTGTAGTAAATTTGTGTAGAAAGATTTGTGTAGAAAGTGTAGTAAAACAGGTGATATGACGGACTACGTCAGAATTATAAAAAGTATATTTTCCTATTTGATGTTATCAGTAAAATACTGATTTTGTGATCCTACTAATATTTTTTAGAGAATTTTTATATGACTTTCTCATTTTGTTTTTGCCAGTTTTGCCTTATTCATTCATTCATTCTGGTTTGATGGATTAATTAACCGTTAACTGTTTTAAAATAACTTTTATTTTGGAAATAACTAGAGTCCTTCGATGCCGGAAGTACACAAACACAGGGCGCTCACGTTGCTTTTCTGCAATGGACACCGTACATGCTCGTTTCAAAGACAAAATAGGTGAAGTACTTTTACCCGGAGATGTGTTTTCATTCAGATTGCCTGAGGATGGACATGGTGATGGTAATATCAAAACCGAAAAGATAATATGCGGTCCAGGGCTCCGGAGAAACGGAGAGGAAGTTCAAGTGTGTAAAAGTGGAATTTTGCGCCACAAACAGCCAAATCTGTATTGGATAGACTCTCAGCAGAGACGGGTGAGGAACTGGACTCACACACCAGTAACCTTTTGTGCACTTATTATTTTAAGTTGGCTAAGGTTTGTTCTGCTTTAGGGCAGTACTGGAAATTGAGCCCTGTGTGTGTGTGTGTGTGTGTGTGTGTGTGTGTGTGTGTGTGTGTGTGTGTGTGTGTGTGTGTGTGTGTGAGGGAGGGAGAGAGGGAGGGAGGGAGAGAGGGAGGGAGGGAGGGAGGGAGGGAGAGAGAGAGAGAGAGAGAGAGAGAGAGAGAGAGAGAGAGAGAGAGAGAGAGAGAGAGAGAGAGAGAGAGAGAGAGAGAGAGAGAGAGAGAGAGAGATTCATGAAACAAAAATAAATAAATCTTGCCCAAAATTAAGCTGTCACGCAGTAGGAGGAGCTAACTAGATTTGAACCAACTAATTTAATTTAGTATTAGTCATCTGTCATCAGGTTTGTACATCCTCAGGCTGTCCTTATTTCTTCTAGTATGTACCAGCCAAGGGTGAAAGTGTGATTGGTATTGTGACTGCAAAGTCTGGAGATATCTTTAAAGTGGACGTGGGAGGAAGTGAGCAAGCATCTCTCTCGTACCTTGCATTCGAGGGAGCTACCAAGAGGAACAGGCCTAATGTGCAGGTACTTGCTTATATGAACACTCTTACACCCCACTCAAATGAATAATTCACACTGTTTACATTGCATTATGATTGTACACACTAATAATGTGACTTTGTTTTGTAGGTTGGAGATCTGGTGTATAGCCAGTTCACAATTGCAAACAAGGATATGGAACCCGAGCTGGTGTGTATAGACAGCTGTGGCAGGGCCAACGGGATGGGGGTGTTTGGAGCTGATGGGCTGCTCTTTAAAGTATCTCTGGGACTAGTGCGCAGGTTTGTAATTTGCCCATGCAATACAGCTTTGTGATCTATAAAGTTCCAAGCTTAGCTTACTTAAAGTCGGAAGTTGCGATAGTTTTTTCTTTCCTATTGTGATTTGCATCTGAGTGAAATGGCTTCTCAAACAGGAAAGGGACTGGGCGGGACTTAATTTAGTCCATTGGGAATTGGTTGGATGGTTGTGGTTTGCTATTGCAAATTGTATTTGCCCCTATTAAATGGCATATAACTACTATTTACACTTACTGCAAAGAAAATACTGGTATTTTACTCGGTGTAAATAGAATCTATTGCTAAGAAAATATGCTTGTATATATTTACATTTTGTTTAAGTAGCGTTTATCGTGATTTGCAGTTTTTTCTAAAAAATTACATGCACTGATAAATCGCTTAATAAATGCTCCATAAAATATTCCATAAAAACAAGAATTGTCCATTTTGATTTCATGGTTAATTAAAAAGCTAAAAAAAAAAAGTTTTTTCTTCCCATCAGACTTCTGGCTCCTCAGAGTGAAATAGTGAAGGACCTGGAGAAGATTTTCCCCTTTGAGCTGGTTGTTGGAATGAATGGCAGAGTGTGGGTGAAAGCAAAGACAGTTCAGCAGACGCTGATAGTGGCCAATCTTCTGGAGACATGTGAGAACATGACCTCTCAACAGAGACAGACGCTATTCAGGAGAGTGGCAGAAGGCTCCCTCTAGAGGACATATGAAAGATCACTTTTCCCACAATACAACTGGTGCCACAGATGCTTAAAGGGTTAGTTCACCCAAAAATGTTAATTCTGTCATCCTGAATGAGTTTCTTTCTTCCTTTGAACACAAAAGAAGATATTTTGAAGAATGTTGGTAACCAGACAGTTGATGGTAGCCATTGACATCCATAGTAGGAAGAAAAATACTATGGAAGTCAATGGCTACCGTAAACTGTCTGGTTACCAACATTCTTCAAAATACTTTCTTTTGTGTTCAACAGAAGAAAGAAACTCATACGGGTTTGGAACAAAATGAGGGTGAGTAAATGACAAAATTTTCTTTTTTGGGTGAACTATCCCTTTAAAGTACCCGTCATCAGTTTTCAGATGAACAACGGGTAAAGCCTCTGAAAATGTTTAAATAGAAATCACTCCCTCTGTCCAGTTTTGGAGAACAGACAAGTGAGTTTGGACATTGGTGTGTTCACCCTGTCTGTCCACCATAATTTCTCTCAAAACAAATATTTTTGCCTTTATTTTTTATAGGTACAAATGAATAAAATCTTGGTGAAGCAGTCAATGAAAACTGTGTTGTTTTTTTGTAGCGATTTAAAAAGTCTTCATGATTGCTCCGTTTTCTTCATGTCCAGAAGGGGGCACTTTTCTACAATTTCTTTAGCCGTCTTGTGTTTTTAAAAGTTGCTGATTTACTGGTAGTTGCAAGGGGAACACCATGACTGTAACCAGCGTAATTTTATATCCAGTTATCCCTTGATCCCTTATTCACAGGTGTGTTGAACATTAACCACGCTCTACAGCAAGGCTATTTTCTCAGTGATATTTCCGTGATAAATTTGAAGGCTAGGTGTCTGTTCTTCCTTAAGTTGTATTTATTGGGTCAGGATTTAAAACACAATTATATAAAAGACACAAGTCCCCCAAATCCTTGTACCCCACATGTCCTCTGCAAACAACTGTTTTCAACCATTCTTTTGAACCCCTTTCACTTTTTATTTGATCAGAAATACAGTAAAAAATATTATGACTTATAGGAACTTCTTTTTATATGAATATATTTTAAAATGTAATTTATTCCTGTGATGTCAAAGCTGAATTTTCAGTATCGTAACTCCAGTATTCAGTGTCACACGATCCTTCAGAAATCATTCCAATATGCTGATTTGGTGCTTTTGTGGAAACCAATACCCCTTTTTCAGGATTCTTTGATAAATAGAACATTTAGCATGCATATGCAATACAAATTTGTTTCAATGTAGAAGTATTTACTCTCAATTTTGATTAGTTTATTGTATCCTTGCTGAATAGAAGTCTTTATCTGGAGCATTTGTGTCACTTTCAGTGGCATGGCTTTTTTTACCAAATATATAAATAAAATACGAAATAACATCAGATGAAATATTTATTTTTTAATGGTCAGTAGTTTAGAGGTCAATAATATACAAATATACTTGACTGCAGGATGCCACAATCCACCAATCAGAATGTGGTATTCCAGAGAGCAGAGAGTGTAACAATGCTTATTTAGACAAGCATTTATAGTTTGATTAGGAGGGAAGAACATAACTGATGAAGCAACACAGCCAGATGCTTATTGAATCTGGCTAAGTAAACTTTGAAAACAATGGGCTCTGAGTTTCAGGTTTTGTAAATGACTCCGTAATGTGCTGAATGCTGATCAACATGGAAAGATGTGTCTGGGCACGTTTTCCTCATTGGTTGACTGCATGCAGACGAGCTTCCAATGCATTACCAGGGGCATGGAAGGTTTGAGTCACTGCAAGAACAATGTATTTGAGCTTTGATCATACTAGAATACAAATCTGACTCCCATTATGTGCAAAGGCTGTAGGCTAGCTTTTCTGGTTTGTAAAATAACTTTGACCTGATCTGCAGATATATTTGATGCATAACGCATTTGAATGTCTTTACCGAACATGGAAAAAGTATGTGATTAATATGTGAGCTAATCATTTCTGCAAAGACTAACCATGGAGTCCAGTGAGAGAGGATTGAAGGTGTTTACAAATGTTGAGTTTGTTATTCACAAGAACTAGAAGCATGGCCCAAAGTGAACCAAGCCTCGAAACAAAAGAGATCTCAGATCAGCTCATTTTAATAATTGTTGCATAAAGCTGTTTAAGCCAGGGGTGCAAAATCCCACAGTGTAATTGAAAAGCAGATCTAATGTTGACAGATTTATGTGAATGTTTAAATCCAAGGAGTATATTTTCTATGCTCCAGGCATTTTACATACAGGATCTGCAACTTCCTTCCCACACTGTAAAGTATTTGTGGGTCCAAAATGAACCTGTTTAGACGAGCACTTCTTGAATTGGCAGGTGGGCTTTCTTCACTTTCAAATGTAAAGAAAGGCTATGACATGCAAAACGTCTTGCTTTCATACAAATTCACTTGACAGTCAAATGAATGCTGAAATAGAGATTTGCATAAGAGGAAGAATTGAAAAATTTAAAGGGATTTGCTCACCAAAAAGTTCAATTCTGTCTAGTATGCCTTATTCAAAACTGTATTTTTTTTTTCCTTTTCTGTATAGGCTTTCCTGTCTACTAAAAACTGTCTTACAAATAACAGGGGGAACCTGAAATAAAATGACATATAATAATACAATAAAACAAATCTAGCCGTTTTCTGCAACGCTTTTTAAAATAATTAAAATAATAATTTATTAAAAATTTTATTCATATGCACCGATACAATATCTTCACACGAAGACTTCTGTAAAAAATTTTTGAGTGACAATAAAAAAAAAATCTTTGAAATCGATTGAGTTTTGAATCAATTCACTGAAATGGACGACGGATTGACGCAAAATGTTACAATTTTTTTTTTTTTTTGTTACTTAAATGTAAAAATTGCTTATATTAATGTCCTCATACTTCGAGCATGCGAAAGAAACAATATGTATAATGACACAGTCTTTGGGGAACTGAATAACCAAATGAAAATCATTGCAATATTGTAATTGTAATATAATTGTAATCCTATATAGTCACCAAAGGCATCATGATAAGGCATACTGTACTGTGAATACTTTGAATAGAGAGTCATGTGTCTTTAGATTTTGACTTTCTTCTAAATAACTTTTGTTGTCCACGAAAAATAAACTGCATTCAAGTTTCAAGCGAGGGATTTTTTATTTTTTGTGCACTATCGTTTTAAAATGATTCTCTACTCTCATCTCAGATCATTGGATATCACATATTAATCCAGGGAAATAGTCAGATGTGCAGGACACTTCAGGCCAGGTGAGAGACTGCAAACATTTCTCTCTTTCTCCATCTGCCACTGTCTTTTGCGTCTGCATATTCCATGAATGTGCATTTAACGCTTCTCCAGGGGCCTGAGCCCACGAGCAGCTCTGAATCATGGGCCGTGCGCTCAGTGCCAAAAGAAATAATCCCTGCCGAGGAAAGAGTATTAGCCAAACACTCTCTCGCAAGCAGAGAAAACGCTGCTAAATCCTAAATAACAAACACAAGCTTGACACTGGCGACCCTGTTGTCTGAGTGGACACAATGGCTCTGGTGGCTTTCTACATATTCTGAATATTGACCTTTAGCACGTCACAATCACATTTCATTATCATTAGCTTGATGTTAGTCATGATTTAATGTCAGGAAACCTCCCTGTTCCCTTAAAAGTGTGCTAAGATTACACAATATATGAGCTGTAAGAGCCTGAATAAGGCTGTTAACCAGCTGAATATTCTCCCTTCGCTGTGAAAAGCTTTCGTCATGCTCTCGCTGGACATTTGCCTGCGCAGAGCTGCAGCTGTCCAGACTCAGTTGTGGTCATATGCTTCCCAGAAACCTCTTCCTCATCTTTCTCAAAGCTCTAGTTCGTTACCTCCTCCACCTCCTCACCTCCATGCTTGCCAGAATCTTCCACATTCATCTGCAGTTACTCTAAAGTGCAAACAGATGTCCCTCAACAAATTGGATGCATCTCTGCTTCTCATTAGCTCTTACAAGGTTGGCTGGATCAAAGTCGGTTTGGCCTCTGTATTTACTGTTCTACATAAACACATAGCAGATCTGAACATGGAAACTGATGTGGATTGGATGGTTGAGCACAAACCCTGAAATTTTCATACTCACTTTTACATACACAGCCCTTGGTTTTTTTTGCCCTGAGAGTATTCTTTAGTTAGATAAATCGATGATACTAATGTACATGAAAACATACCATCATTTCTCTCTCTACCTCCCTAACAACTCCAGATGTCACAAAACAGCAAGTGACTAAACATAACAACAAAAACAACAATAAAACAATGTACATGTACAAGAAAACAGTGTAAAATACAACCGTATTAATTTGTGTTCATTAATTATTCATGCCCCAGGGTATGATGGGAACACCAGTATCAGAAAGTTGAGTAGGTTTTACACTTAATTTTATAACTTTGAAACGTACTCGAAGAATAATTGTAAACATAAACAATTCCAAGTAAAATATACTTATAAGTTCAAGCTTTGATTTCTACAAGCTTGAATGAAGTAGCCTACTAATATAGAATTTACTTTTTTATATTCTTGCCTGAACTAACTTATTCAATGTTTTTTTCCTGTAGCATTTACTTCAGCACAGAATAATTTTTAGGCAGCGGCTATTGCAATAAGTGCAAATAGCAATAGATGCTATAAGTGCAAATAGCACATAGCGATAGCTGCTAATTACATTATAAGTTTAAATAGCAGATTCTATCTACACTAAGTGAAAATATATATTTGCACTATATGTAAAATTAGAAGTATTTCCTTTGCAATAGGCTAAGTGTAAATAGTAGATGCGATTTATACTTATAAATACTATTTTGCACCTCAGTGTTGGTGTACATTAAAACGGTATGCAATAATATCATAGAACGTAAATTATTATATTTATTACAATTATTTATTTTGAAATATTTTCTTCCTAAATGCCTCTCAAACTGATATGCGATGGGAAAAGGAAGAAGAATGAGTTCGGAAAAGGGTGGATTCGAACTCCAGTCAGTAGCATCTAAGGTAATGCCACCCACCACTACGGCTTGTATCAGATTGGTTTTATTTGTCATTTTCAAACTGACAGTGGTGGCGGAGTTAGTGTAAATAACCTCTCAGGCAACACTGCGCTGGTATTTCATTTTGTTTGATTTGACTGCGTTGTTTTTGGAATTGTCTGTGCGTTTCATACGAATTATATTATTTTGGTTCTTAAAGGTGCCCTTGAGTTTGGGAAGCGTGTTATACATAAAACATTGTTACTGGTCTGGTTTGTTGGACTCAGTGTTGACAGAGGTGACACAGTATGTTGATTTTTCCTTCCTGGTGCTCTGCTAGGTATTTGTGGCTAAAACTTCCCTGTTGAATTTCTGTTCCCTGAATCGGGACTTGGCCTGCTTGGAATTCAGACAGGACATATGGGTCTCAGAGGCCTCCGTATTTTAGGACATGTCAGCCAGGTGGGTCTGTTTCCTGCAGCAGGCGCTCAAGGTCACCTCACTCCCACACAGGAAAAAGAAATGCCTACTCATAGTCTTTTTATACCAGCATTAATATAGCCGAGTTCATTATAAATCTCAGGAACATGTTAACACGTTGCCAGCTAACTTGATTATATGCCATGCAACCTTCATTTTCAGGACTGCCGTTTTAGGTGTGAAAAACTCGACTGGTGTCTAATGTTCAAATTCATAGTATGAACAAATTTAAACAACTCTCACTCAGACATTTAATAAAGGCAGGCAGCAATGCATTATGTAAAGTATCACGCTTAAGTTCGCAAGGCAGCTGTGTTTTAGGAGGAGTGACTGCATCAAAACAGCTCTTGTGAAGGAAAAGGTCATTTTTCTTTTTGGACCAGACTAAAATACAAATCGAGTTAAAGCTTTGCAATTCTGTGAATGTATGTTTGAGACATTTGATAAAACACAACATAAGTGCCCTGGCTTATTAAAGTTTACATGTGTTTATCACTTATTACAAAAAAGGACTTTGACTAAATATTTGGGGTATAAGACATCACATAATAAACTGGTTTTAGATAGGTTTATAACCTTACTGGGATAAAGATCTAAAACTAATTCAAATCTAAGGGTGCGGTTACATAGGGCATTGTACTAAACGGAAAAGTTTTTCCTTTTAGTTTTTCCGCGTAGGCGACAACAATGTCAAAATAATTCACATTCACAAAACTGCCAAATAATTATTTACCATCGTCAACCATGGCGTTTTTTTCTGTTGAGCAAGGAATCACATGAAATTTATGTCATCTTCCACACAAAGGCTAAAAAAGTGGCTTTAATCTAATAAAACTTTTTTACTCTAGTATTTTTGTTATATATAGGCTGTACAATCCAATAATATACTTTCTGGTTGATAGCTAAAATGATAGGCAGTTATGCTGTTTAATAATCTTTTTTCAAATCAATAATATTGCACTTATTTTTTAGTAGCCTATTTGGCAAAACTTAATGCTGGTTTTTATTTCATTTAAAATATTCTTTTTTTTTTTCAGAACAAGGTACATGGAAAGTATTCAAATTGTACTATTTTTAAACAGCATTCATACTGTTCATTTGATTTACAGTAGAAAATATGGGTTCTTTAAACTATTTTTAAATAATAAATAATTTTCAAAACCTGCATAAGGAAGTGTATACTATATAAATAAGTTTCCCTGAAATTATTTGCTTTATTTATCAGCAATCAGACTAGCAGGCTACAGTTCACAAAAAAAAAAAAAAAAAAAAAAAAAAAAAAAAAAAACACACGTACACACACACACAGAACAACAACAACAAAGCAAAAATGATAAAAACGCTCTATTATGCTGCCAGTACTTTACACGGAGCCAATACGGTATCATTTTCAAAAACTTGCACTTTGAAACCCGTCAGGTAAAATGTTTCTTTACAAAGTGACATCGCTAACTGGCCTGGCAGCAGAATACAGCGTTTTTAGTCGTTTTCATGGATCTGTGTGAACGGGGATTGTTTTGACAATGTCTGTAGGCTATGCAAAGAATGCAAATGAAAAACGTTTCTGTTTTTAGTAATCGTTGTCGTGTAAACGTACCCTTAGTCACTACTTTGCATTTTCTGGTGGAAAAAGAAAGTTTATAAGGACAAACTGCTCCATCAGACGCCATTATTCTTTCCACATTCAGCCGAACTGCACGTCAGTGTTGCTGTGTGCTCACTGCTCAAACTACTTCATTTTTGAAAGGTCAACAATGTCATCCACACACACACCTTTTTGAACTCTTAATGTGCGCATCATTATTATAAAAGGGCCTGTTTGTTAATATTACAAAGTAGTGAGCTAGCGAGCGGCTGCATGTGACTTTAAAATGTCATTAGCACAATTTTTTTTTTTTTTACATTTTTGCAATTAGATGGGAAGGATTTATATTATTATGTATTATATTACTTATTATAATAATTAAGCATACAAAATACTACCATTATGTAAAAATAGTTTTTTTTTTTTATTTGTTAGCAAACGTAATGAGACTTTTGTGCTTTTTTGTGAATTTTGAAATGTGCCTAATTAGCATTTTGTTTTTTATTAAAATTATTTTGACTTTAGGGTGAAATATGAGCCGCATATCTCAACGGGTCACCAGAAGGCCACACTGAGGTTGTTAAAAACATGGACCATTAATCTTGTCTGGCTGGTTTCTGTTCACTGAAGTGACCTTACGAGTCTCTTACCTGTTTGTCCACCAGGAAACAGGTTTCGCTCTCAGGGCGAGGACTGACTTTGTACAAACGGTGTTTTAATTCCTTCTGAGTCTTCAAGAATCCCCCAGGTAATTTGTCTTGGATAGTTAGACACACAACCTGCCAGAGCAGTTGGGGATTTCATGTGGAATTGTACGTTGTACACCGGTGATCATCTTTTAGCTAGAACAACCTAGAATTAAACATCCTAATGTGGCTTTTAACTTCAGATTCACTGTTAGAGTAGTTAAAATGTGCAAAAACGTGTATAGTGCCTAGTGTTGCATCATGCAAGCAGAATCCCATGTATATGTTTTTTGCCTAATAAAAACAACCGAACATTAACTACAGTGCCAGCTGATGACATTCTCATTGGCATTGGCTCAATTTCACATTTAACCCACCATGGGAAAAGCAAAGCATGACAACTCTTTTCTTTGGCAGTTAAAAATAATACATCAATACACAGCAATCTGATGTGTCATCTGATTCAGAAAATTATGAAAATGTTTATTTTAAACATATTTATCCACCCCTTCATCACTTTTATGTTACTAACAAAAGGAATGATATATTAGATCTGAGGCCAGATCACATTGTTGGTTAGGCAAGAGTTAACTGGTTCGGGTGAATGGAAAGTTGCAATTGTCTATAGGCTCTCTTCTGCTGAAAAGGGAATGCTGGCTTCCTCTTGCCGAAAGAGTTCTCGCGTTATTGTCTTATGTTTCACTTCACACCACAGTAAAGTCACAAGCGGAGTTAAATCAAACACCATTTAATTATGTAATTTCCCTAATTCCAAAATTAAGTTAATTGTTCACTGCATTACACTTAAGTAAGAGGAACATATATAGGCATAAAAAATGGAAAACATAAAAGTTGTTTGAAAAACTGAAAAAAAAAGTCAAACAATACATTTAAAAAAGAAAGAAAACTTAAAAGTTAATTATGTGCTGGCCCTTAAACAAAGACCATTGTCTAAACAGATTTAAACCTCACTTTAACTGACCAAAGGGGGGATTTTTGTGCCAAAGCATTTGGTTTGAGAGACAGCATTAGCAGCTAATCCCTTCTGCTTGCGAGTGCTGTGCCGAGTGGAGAGGTAGTTTTCTTTCCTGGTGCAAAGGAGTTTTTATAAGGCATGGGAGAGTTTTTAAGCAGGAAAGAAAAACTATAGGTCTTTCGGGGTGCTCGGCATGGAGGAAATTTCTTTTTGGCTGTGCAACTTAAACATTCTGTACATTGTGTATGGGCTGTTAGTCGCCATCTTGAAAAGCACTTGAGCAAACAGTTGACATACATTCATTTGCTCCGTCTGCATTTCATCGCCTGACAGAGTTGAAAGGCATTTTTGGTTTCCACAATGACAGGTTTTAAAGCAAAACACTGCTCTTAAATTCTTTAAAACAAAGAAAACAGACCAGCATATAAGAGAGAAAAAAATACAAGTATCAACAGGTCAGTTCAGCAAAGTTTTCAATGGCTTCATGTTTTCATTACAGTAGAGACCTTGAATATTCTTGTGCCCTTAATAACCAGCATAGATCTGAGAAAATCACAATGCAATAAAAAAAAAAAAAACCCGAAATGGAACAAAACAAAACTGAAAGGTTGACCTGATAGTGCTGGATTTGATTTGATAGAATTGCAACCAAAAATCCAAATACAGCAAAGATAATCCACCAAAGAGAAGGGAGGAATCTAATGTCTTTTAAGATGCAAGGCTGCCACTTTGGTGCTCCAGCAAACATGATAATGGTCCAATAAGCGTTAAGCAACAACTCAGGCCAATACATTCAGACTTCTCATCCGTAACAAAGAGAGAAGTCATTTAAAAGGCTCTGTAAAAATAAAGATGCAATTCGTAATAAAAGTAAACAAAATATGTGACAGCCCAAAAATGCCAATTTGCTGGTATATGATTATAGAATATCCACAGCCCTTGATTGTTTATCCCAGATTTTTTTTGCATTGCTTAGCTTGCTGACTACCCTTTAAATATTCACTTTCGAACACGCAAACTAAATAATCCCATACACAGCAACTCACATTCGTTGTCCTACAACAAGGACATTTTCATTTCAGATCAGATCAATTTAATATGCTGCTTCCATCAAATGGCTCAAAATATAGTCTTTATCCTCAGCAGAAGAATCTGAGACAGAACAAGGATGGCCCGTTGCCTCTTGAGGGCAACATGAAACCCTTGTGTGTCTCCTTTAGCAGCCGAACAGTTCTGATACACTAGGCAAAAGGAGTCCGGACCCCTGTGTTCACCATCGCATGTGCAAAGATGGCAAAACAATTTTTTTTACAAGAAAAAAAAAGTCTTTTTACAAATATATAATCCACTTTGAAAATTGTCCAGTTGTTTTGATATAATCAAGGCACATTTGGTTTTGACAGCCAGCGCTGCGGTTTCACTCAGTTTTGAGTTGGTCTCTATGCCGGAGTTATGGTTTTCCCACATCCACTGTGATTTTGGTGAATAGCTGGTCTTTCTCAATCTGAACAACCGTGTATGTTAGCGAATTGATCCCGTCTCTTGCCATAGTTTCCCTTGTGTGAGCTATTCGGTCAAACCTGTAACAGGAAATGACATGTTTAACATTCCACAGTGCAGGAGGGCATTAAGTAGTTGTTAAAGTGGCCTCTATTTGCACAGTCTTGTTAACAATTTAACAAAGCAGTCACTCAACTAACAATGTATTATTGCAATGCATTTCAAAGCGCTTAAGGTTTTACAGACCGCTGTCAGAAGGCTGTAATATGTTTAGGTACCTCTGTGGATTGGGGTCGTTTTTTTGGTCTCGCTCATGACGGATCATTCTACATCTCCCAATGATTGCATCGGGCCTTGATATAGTCATCCCTTTGGAGGTAACCCTGTGAAAACATGCAGTGCTTTTCAATTAATTTGATTCAACACTCTTGAATGTATGTGTAGGGGGGGGGGGGGGGGGGGGGACGGGACACCACTTCATAGCAAATCCGCCTCAAAAACAGCTGGGCAGTAACAAATGTTATTTTTCGCGGATTGTATTGTTTTAACACGCAAAATTGTGTCAATTTCGGTCTTCGTGAGTATACTCTAAACATAGTCGGTTTTGTCTTTAATAAGCATAAAACGCATGTGACAGTATAATGAACACAGGATCCGTGCACTAGCTCTTAAAGTGACGGCAGCCATATGTGTCTGTCATTAATTTTGTTGTCAAAAAAACAACAAAAGATAGCTTTAAGTTAAAGGAATCAGGATAAATAGCCTATGTATTTAATTTAGTCAGGACTAAAATACTACCCAGTGTTACTATCTGGGTAGTATACAGTGTTGTATATCCATTTGATTACATTATTCAGTTTCTGTATTTATGAATACTAGTGTTAGACCTATTCAAAAACCTTTCTCTTTATTTGTCATTATTTGTATCTTTATTCTATTGTATTTATTAGTGCTACTTTTTTCAATTTAATTAAACAATTTAAATCAAGCTTCCTTGTGTTGTGTAAATTCTTAACAATATTACCCCGCATTGTAAAAAAATGCAAAAATTGAAGTTGAAAAAAGGTAATAAATTGCAATATATTGCAGAATATCGCAATATGTTTAAAATCGCAATAATATCGTATCGTGACCTAAGTATCGGGATAATATCGTATCGTGGTGCCTCTGGTGATTCCCACCCCTAATAATTATCTAGTTCATGGTATAACAGTTCAGAGACATTAGCCGCTTTTCCACTGTCGGGCCAAACCGTTCTCGTTGCTTAAAGGGATAGTTCATCCAAAATTTAAAATTCAGTCATCATTTAGTCACCCTCAAGTTTTTCCAAACCTGTATGAATTTCTTTCTTCTGCTGAACACAAAAGAAGATATTTTAAGGATTTATTTCAGAAACCAAACAAAACCCAATGAAATGTAATGAAACCCATTGACTTCCATAGTATTTTCCCCCCCATACTATGGAAGGCAAAGAGGTCCATCAACTGTTTGGTTTCTGACATTCTTCAAAATATCTTCATTGTATGGACAAAAACACAGGCATTTTTTTTGTTTTGGGTGAACTATCACTAACCATGGCAAACAGTTTCAAAGATACTGATAGTTATTTACTCATTCATGTAGATACAATCTGAACTTGCTTGACTTGAAATAGCTTATCACAATTGGGAAATAATCATCATTTACTCGTCCCTAAGTCCGACTAGTTAGAAAAGTAATAGCATATACCCTCCTCAACAAGCCACACAATTTATCATGTCTGTAGCACAAACAGTAAAAAAATATTTGAATATTTGTTTAAAGTTTAATATATAAGGTGAGAGATTAGTTCAGACTTCACTATCACCTAGAATTCTTTTGAAATTTAAAAGCAGTTCCCTGCTCTGCAAGTATTTTTCTGCACATTTCCTGAACATTCCCCTTGAAAAACAAGGCTGTAGCTGAGCAGCTGACAAATGCAGGTGGTCATGAGGGTGATGCAAGTTCATCTAATCCACTGTAACTGTAACTCTCCACTATCCTTTGAATAACAGCGTCGAAAGGCCCCGAAAAATAAAAAAGTACACATGATAAGCAAGATAGCTGTGGGAAAGTATTCTTGTGACGTGCAAATAAGACGTTACACAGGTTTTGTCTTCCGTCTGCACCCTGATAAGCAGATAAGGCGTTTTATCTGCCCCTTCCTGCTTGTGGCAGAACTATTAGAACCAGGAACAGAACCAAATTTCAGTTGCACTAGAATTCAAATGTTTGGCGTCGGTAATAAGATGAATTTCTTTTTGGTAACACTTTATTTTACAGTATTTTACTTGTTACATATGTTATATATATTTAACATAGCATAATTACATGCAACTAACCCTCAAACAAACCCTAATCTTAACCCTAACCCTATAGTAAGTACATGTTGTTAATTAATAGTACTCCATACTTAAATATAGAATTACACTTTAACAAGGACACCTTAAAATAAAGTGTAACCATTTAAAAAAAGTCATGTCTCTTTGGCTCATAAAGGTTGTATTTATTAAAAAATACAGTAAAAACAGCAATAGTTTAGTTTTTTAGTTTTCCATTTTAATATAGTTTAAAATGTCATTTATTCTTGTGATGGCAAAGCTGAATTTTTAGCATCATTACTCCAGTCTAAGTGTCAGATGATCCTCAAGAAATATTTCTTAATATTTCATCAATGTTCAAAACAGGTGTTCTGCTTAATATTTTTTTTGTGGAAACCATTATAAAAAATTTTCCAGGATTCTTTAATCAATAGAAAGGTCAAAAGAGCAGCATTTATTAAAAAAAATAATAATAAATTTGCAACAATGTAAAAGTCTTTACGGTCACTTTAAATCAATTGAATCCATCACTGCTGAAAAAAAGTATTAATTTCTATAAAAAAAATTAAATAAAAAAACCAAAACCCCAAACGTTTGAATTGTAGTATGTGCTCTGTATCACATGCTTGAGCTTTTTGATTGTGCAATGCCATACTTGCAGCACAACGACAGGATGTGTGAGGCTCAAAAATGGAACATTCAGCTGAATGTACGCTTCCGTTTTGTGCTGGATCAGAGGTTTCCTTGGTTAAATCGCACCAGAAGGCAGACATGAGCTCGGCTCTAGGACAAAAACATTAAAGTGTGTTTTTTAATAGAAAGGGGCGTTCACACTAAACTTCACACTCCATTCACTTTCATCCATACACATTTGAACGTGGGTGTACGCCAACGCAAAGACGTTTCACATTTGACATTTTTACATGTCATTATTTTCTCCCCCTCCAAACTTGTTTGCTCACATTTTTTGTTGGTTTTTGATGACCAATGATGTTTGATGTTGCTTACATCCAAACAATTGAAAAGATGACTTAAATTTTGGTCTGTTTATTGCGTAAAACTATCGTATGACTTCCAAATACAAGTCAAATGAACTACTTTTATGGGGCTTTTACAGTGCTTGTATGTTGTTGTTTTTGCGTGACAGGCCATGGTCACCATAAACTGTTGTTGTATGGTATAAATTCAGAGCACAAATTCCGAGTATGGGACACCATACTTGGCTACACATCATGTCTGTGAAGATTCTCTAAAATCTCGTTTTTTTGTGTGTGTTCCAATCAGCAAATGGGTTTGGAACAGGATGATGGGTGAGTAAAAAAAGACAGAACTGTCATAATTGGGTGAAATATTCCTTTAGAAGGGTTCTCGAACCTGTTAAATATGTCGTCGTCCTCCCCTCCCCAGCCCCAGTAGTTGTTTGGGAAGCCGTTGATCTTCAGAAACTGTTCTTTGCTCAGTGATGACACGCCCCCAAAGTACTGCGTGTATGGCAACCTGTTGGAGACGGACAGAGAGAGAGAGAGAGAGAGAGAGAGAGAGAGAAAGAGAAACTGAGGAACAGTTGCGTGTTGTGTGGCAGTTGTTAGGTCAGGTGCAGAAGAAGTGCAGCATGCAGCTTGGTGTTTCTCTGCAGGGAAATGATGTGCACTAATGAGAACTGGCAGGGGGCCAAACTTGAGCCCGAAAGCAACTGCTGCCTCTGTTGTTTGCTGTAAGCCAGTTGCTCTTGTAAATTATCAGGAGGCGTCACTCCTGATAACTCACATGGGGGATGGTCAACATAGTTATGATAACCATAGGAATAGTTGTGCGTCAGGAAACATGGATTGCCGTTTACACGGATGGTGTGAGATATTTTTGACCAAACTAAAGGCACCAGAGATGTATTATCTATCATTATCTCTGAATAGAGCTCTAAAATTTTATTATACTAGAATACATTATATTTTAATCAGGATTTATTTTGTATTTGAGACTTGTTTTTGTAAGGCTCTCAAAAAATTATATAAAATTTGGATTTAGATTTATCGGCTTTCAAATATAAAGAATAATCGGTATAGGTATCGGCCACAATTTTCATATCGGTGAATCCCTATACAGCGCGAGCCTGTTTATAAAACTTGTTTTGTGTTGTTTTGTTTTTTGAATCGACATTCACTGTCCTCAATTGCATTGAAACGGGTCTAGAAATAAAGGTAGCCTGGGAAAACCCAGACAACTTCCGGCAAATTTAGACTTGCGCTGAAAGTTAGTCTGGCAAAAAGCTCATTCAAGCCCATTTCCAATCCGTCGAAATCACGGCACCAATCAGAAACGTTGGGGCGGGCTTTACACGATGACGACAGCGCTGGGATTTTGAAGCAGATTTTGTAGCCTACATTACAAAGATGGATGCCGCCGTCGAACATCACTCGTTCGAATCAGCTATCGCGTCTGTTTTAAGCGATTTGAACGTTTCCTTTTTGTTAAAAACCGAGCAAAGAACAACATTCGGAGATGTTTCTGCCGCTCTGCATACGTCATCTCCTTCATCGCTCTGATTGGTTTTAGGTCTATCCGCGACGTCCGTTGGTGACGCCCCTCTGGAAATGATTTGTCTATGACGCTTTGCCAGACCATAACTCAGTTACAACTGAGAATGGTCTGGTCTTAACCAGGCTAGAAATAAGGACAAATTTTGACAGAACTTAATTTTTGGTCAACTATCCCTTTAGGAACTGCAAAATTACAACCAGGTGAAATGAACATGTATTCAAAGTAAAACACACATAATGCATAGAGAGGGGGGAAAGTGCATTTAACCCGTTTAATCCCACCGGTCACAATTGTGACCGCAGCTTTTTTCTTATTTCTGGAAGCTCTAAAAATGTTGTAATTGACTTTGGGCAAGAAATTCAACTTTTAAATGACAAAATAGATTGTCTTGATTAAAATCAATTAATGTCATGTGACTAGTGTGAAAGGTCACATGACCAGATCAGTTCACTTCCTGCTTGCACATCTAGAAGAAGATGTCTTCCTCAGACTACTACAAAAAGTAGTATATAAAACATCTTAATTTACATATAGAACTATCATATTTTGTACATATATTCTTTAAAGGGTCAAAAAACATACTTTTTTTAGGCCAAATGTCTGTACAATATCATAAATGGGCTTCATTATGATTTGGTTGCTGTTTTGCATACACGATTAGCTCTACATAAAGGTGTCTCTGTTTGAAATAAATGAGTAAACACTATACTACATCAGGTCCTGGCCCGCTCTTGTCTGACGTTCTTCCGCACGATAACTCTTGAAAATTACAAATTACATCCAGATGCTTTTGAAGTTCTGTGTGAGAAGAAAGCTGCCCTGCTTCTGCGGCCCATGCTAACAGTGGTGAATGCTGTCAAGACTTTATAAAGGACTGCCGACATCTGTTACAAAGAGCAACCCTATTGTTTCAGTGTGAGGAAGTTTAAAACCCAACCTTTATCAGATATTTCCTCATTAAAGACTGTAAATACAAAAGACACACGTGAACGCACACGCCTTTACATACATCATACTTGTATTACACAAAGCTTGTGCTGGAGGTCACTGGAACAAGCTGCTCCAATGAGCTACAGTTTCACTTTAGACAGAGTTGAGCTCCCAATGGGCTCTAATCTGAATCATGTGTGAAGTCGCTAGAATTTTCCCACCCAAACGCTGCTACTTTATCATTTATCTGACGGTTTTATCTAAAGTGACTCGTTTATTACAGGTCAAAGTCCTGCTGGAATAAATGGGGGTTAAAGGATATTCTGGATTAAATATGACCAGGTTAAATCAACAGCATCTGTTGCCTGCTGTGGATTACCAACGAAAATAAAGGTGACTAGTCCCTCAGTAAATATTAAATCAAAAAAACATTTACAGTAATTTAACCCAGAATATTATTTGTAAGGTCACAGTGGTGATAGAGCGAAATTATAATACAAAGTATAAAAATATATGCTAATACAAAATAGATTGTTTTGACTACTGAACATCTACGTTTAAGACTACAGATATCTTGGACTTCCAAAAAGTACTGTGGTGGTAGCATGGTAAAACAGATGTTTTTTATATATATATATATATATATATATATATATATATATTCCATGGTAATGAATGATTACTATATTCATATACAATGTTATTAAGAAGATCTCATATCAGTTGAGTTGAGTTGAGTTGTTTCATATCACTGTGACTGTATATCCACAACTGTTCAAATGTTTGGGATCAGTAAGACTATTTAAAATGTTTTTGAAGTCTCTTATGTTCACCAAGGCTGCATTATTAGAACAAACATATAGTAAAGATAAATAGTAAAATTGTGAAATAGTATTACTATTAAAAAATAATTGTTTTCTATACAAATATATTTTAAAATTTAATTTATTTCTATGATCAAAGCTGAAGCCAGTCTTCAGTGTCACACAATCCTTTATTATCAATGATGAAAACAAAAAGCTATTTTTGTGGAAAAAATGTTTTCCCCAGAATGCTTTGATGAATAGAACGTTCAAAAGAACAGCATTTATTTGAAATACAGTTCATAAAATGTAAAACATATCTTTTGTCACATTATACATGTCTTTACTGTCACTTAAATCACTGTCAATTTAATGCATCCTTGCTGAATATAAGAAATCATTTCTTTCCAGAATTCACTAGTTATGTCGCAAGCGGAAATGTGTAGAGGAAATGCGACATTATAGCAGATTTTTTTTTTTACCGGAGGGAGGGGTTCTAGCAGACCAATCACAACGCTTGCGGTCCGCGAAGAATTGACGCGTTGTTACATTTTTGAAGAGATGCACGTCAGGCTACGCCATGGGCTACACACAGACCTGTAGATCATTTGCTTTGTTCCGAAACAGGGACTTAATTTGTTACAACGTAGGATTTTCTTCTTGGTTCGGTTCACTTTCACAAGGCAACAAAGAAAGAAAACCAACATTTTTTATGCAAGTCAGATGTGAGGAACACTATCCTCTTATTGGTCAGTTTCCTGTGTGTCATCCATCAATATGGATTGACAAGTTCGCTCCACGATTCATCTTAAGAAGGCAAAAATCTCGAGAAGTGCCAGTAGGGCTGGGCGATAAAACGGTATAGGTATTTATCGACGGTGTGCCGCTGTCTCTTTCTTTCAAAAGTTCTTGCGTTCCCATCATGAACTGCACTCTCCACATGTTGACTGAAGTTGCGTTCCATTCAACCGTGATTCGTAAGTGGACTGCGAAGTTAAAGGGATACTCCACTTTTTTTGGAAATAGGCTCATTTTACAACTCCCCCAGAGTTAAACTGTTGAGTTTTACCGTTTTTGAATCCATTCAGCCGATCTCCGGTTCTGGCGGTACCACTTTTAGCATAGCTTAGCATACATCATTGAAGTGGACAAGACCATTAGCATTTCTCATTAAAAAATGACCAAAGTGTTTTGATATTTTTCCTATTTAAAACTTGACTCTTCTGTAGTTACGTCGTGCACTAAGACCGACGGAAAATGTAAAGTTGCGATTTTCTAGGCTGATATGGCTAGGAACTATACTCTCATTCCTGCGTAATAATCAAGAAACTTCACTGCCGTACCATGAGTGCAGCAGGCGTAATGATATGACGCAGCGCCTGAAAATAGTTCCGTTGTGTTGACGGAAGGTGGCCTATTTTCAGGCGCTGCGTCATATCATTACGCCTGCTGCTCTCACGGTACGGCAGTAAAGTTTCTTGATTATTACGCAGGAATGAGAGTATAGTTCCTAGCCATATCAGCCTAGAAAATCGCAACGTTACATTTTCCGTCGGTCTTAGTGCACGCTGTAACTACAGAAGAGTCAAGTTTTAAATAGGAAAAATATCAAAACTCTTTGGTCATTTTTTTTTTAGAAATGCTAATGGTCTTGTCCACTTCAATGATGTATGCTAAGCTATGCTAAAAGTGGTACCGCCAGAACCGAAGATCGGCTGAATGGATTCAAAAACGGTAAAACTCAACAGTTTAACTCTGGGGGAGTTGTAAAATGAGCCTATTTCCAAAAAAAGTGGAGTATCCCTTTAAAGATGGCGTGACCACCACAACATTGCCCAACATCAAATGGCAAACGTAATGAAAGCGGAACGAAACTGCGCTACTCATTATTTTGTGCTTCACACTCAGTTTGGACCAATGCAGCACGAGCCGATCTTGATCAAGCGACACTGTTACTAAACAGCGCTGAGAGATCCAGTAAAGAAAGCATTTGAATTCGCCACAGAAGTAATAACATCGTTGCCAGATCTAGCGAGAAGCATTAAAATGTATCCGTTATTAACGTATCAAACAGTGCTGACGTGGAAACCAGGAGAAACATTGTGCCATGAATGAACTAGTTATAGGCTTTAAGTCCACAGATCAGCAACAGTCACGATGGATTTAATGTAGTAACACTAACTGTAACCATGGAAGTTTTAACCTGACTCCGCCAGATGGATTTGCTCCGCATATCCATCTGGAAACCTTCCGTTGAAGTAGTTTTGGTAAGGGGCGAAAATACTGGTTAGCTGATTGGCCTATGTTGGTGATAGACGGGCCAAATCAACCAATCAGATCAACGAAGCATATGACGTACTAACAGAGCGTATCTTTTCCTCTGAGAAAAGCCTCCAGAGCAGTGTTTTGCTCTTCTTTCAGTGAAGAAATACTCTGTAATTCCGATAAAACTTGCTCGATAGCCACGCTGATGCTAGTTTCATCCGCTGAAGCCGCCATGTTCTTTAGACTGAACTGACGCGCTTCTCGTTGCGTCACACCTCAACCCGCCTCAAAGCCAACGCTGATTGGACGTTCGTTTGGTGAACTGCTCCCAAATTTTCTTTAACGGAAAGTATCCAGACTGATCTGCGAGTGAAACCTTGAAAGCTCGCGAGATCAGGATGGTCTCAAGAGGCTATGGAAGTTTGGCAGGAATAGTAAAATGCTTTCAAGTACGTCACACATCTTTATCCAGCACTTCAAAACTCAAATATTATCATTTTTTAAATGTTAGTTTTAATGTAATCTTCAAAGATTACTCCCATTTATAAAACTAAAAGTTTCAAGATGTAGAAAAACACACTTATTTAAAAATAATTTCTCTTTTAATAATTATTCTTGTATTTTTTTAAATCAAGGAAATTTCTCTGGCATTTCTTTCTTTTTGCTGAATCGAAAACGTACCGAACCGTGAATTTTTTTAACCATTACACTTCTACTTATTTCAGATGTTGATCTACCTCAAAGTTCACCTTGATTGTTCTACGTTTACACTTTTACATTGCACACATTTTGTAACATTTTAAGTTCAAGAGTTTCTTTAACACTTACTTTTTTATCTTAATATAAGACAAAGAAGTTTTACATATTTATTTTTACATTTTAATTTGTTTTTGACTGCTAAAACTAATATAATTTGTTGTTTGCCTTGTCTTAAAAAAAAAAAAAAAAATTATAACAAAAATGTCAATAATTATCGATACCGAACGAGATGAAACATTATATCGTGATAATTTTTTTTAGCTATATCGCACAGCCCTAAGTGCCAGTAATACAAAGGTCCAGTCATCATTCAAGATAGCACAAGCTAGATCAGGGAGAGACATTCCTTCTAACAACCTTAAATTCATTGAAAGTCTTTGGGATGTGCTGGAGGAGACTTTACAGAGTGCTTGACTCTTGCACTATCAATACAAGATCAAAAGATCTTGACCAAAAATTAATACACACTCTCGCTGATCAATTTTTAAATGTGAATAAAAGCCTAAATTATATCCGTTCATCATTTAAAGTGATCTAGGCTCTTCAGAAAATTTGGACTAAACCGCTCAGTTTTACAAACTTCTTTCTCATTTTGTCCTGCTCTGTATTTTCACATTACTCCATGTTTCTTTGTCGCACTCAACATGTAAATACTGTCCCAGTCTCTGCCATACAAATATGTACACCACAGTATATGCATTTGCACACACAGCCGACATGATACTGCAATGAAATTCAAAGAATACCTTAGTACTATGCCCTAAAAACTGTTACTATTACATTAGCATGTGCATTTGTAATCCAAATAATTATAAATACATATTGAAACATTCTGGGGGCTGAAAATACACCATTAAGGCATGACATAAGACAACAGTCAACAAAAGACAGAAATACCTGAAGCCAAACTTGTCCATAGACACAGACAGATGCCTGGGTTGATTATAGCACTTGTAGAAGTTGCGGTCATCCATTGGAATGAGGTCAACGTCGCTGAAGACAAAACAATCATAGTCATACTCCTTCAGAGCCTCCGCATATCCAATGTTGAGGAGCTTGGCACGATTGAACGTCTCCTCGCCCGCCTGCCATTAAGGAAAGAGATGATACAAAGATAGGATGAGGCCAAGCGACAAAATACATATTTAATGCAATGAAATTTGCAAATGAAATGCACATTTGAGAGAGTGGTGGAACAAACATCATACAATGTCTATAAAGCACTCTTTGCTAGAGCAGGTGTGTCTCTTTAAACTGACAAAATCAGTACTTATTTCCTTGCTTTACGGAAGGTATCAGTTTAACCTTTCACAATATGGTTCAGGTGGCAAGAGACAAAAATGAAACTACTGACAAACAAGCTTTTCAAGTGTATATTTCCTCTCCAAGTGAACTTGTCTGATTAAACCGATATCGAAAGCAAATAATTTCTGGGGAAATTATTTATAGTATACTTATGCAGGTTTTGAAAGTTATTCATCATTTAACAGTAGTTTTAAAAAAACACATCTTTTCTACAGTAAATCAAATACATGCCGTTTAAAAATAAAGTGCAACATTATTGATTTAAAATACCATTATTAAACAACATAACATAAGTACTGTAAAACTTTTCATGTAAATTTACAGTAAAATAGTGGCAGCTGGGTTGCCAGCCACTTACTGTATTTTTAATAGGACTACAACTGTAAGCATTTAAAGTATAGCACCGTACTGTTATTACCAAATACAGTATCCTGCTGTAATATTATGTATTTTACAGTATTACACTGTCTACAGCAATTCATTGCATTTATACAGGGGAATACTGTAATTCCTGGTTTTCAAACCGTATTTATATTACATTTTGTCATTCAATACATAAAAATGTCATACTTTTGTTATGTTTAAAACCTTTATTTTTTTAAGGAAAAAAGCAGAAAATTGCCTTTTATGAACACATAAGCTGAAATGTCAATATTTAAAAACATTTAAAGTGCAGTTAACAGTTATCAATGAACAGTACTGCTCTTTTTTGCACAATGTTGCCAGTCTTGGAAGTCACTATCCCATTTTTGGTTCTTGACCCATTTTCAGAGTTGATGTCAAAGTGCCTAAAGGGCAGAAAAGCAAAGAAAAATAGAAAAAACATTTATATTTATATTTATTTATATATATATATATATATAGACGACCTGGTGACGTAAATTGTGAAATTAAGCACACCACTTACGTTAACACTGGATCTGCATTAGATGATTCAGCCTGAAATGACAAAAAACAATTGCCAACAGTTACTAACCGTTTCCAAGGCAGGTTGTAAGAATAATGCATGTTAATTTTTGCCATGAAAAATCAATGTTATTCCGTGAAAGCGCTGAGAACAGAGTAAACCGTATGCCCAGGACTAAACAAAAGTGCAAATAAAATGCGTAAAATACGTTCCAAGGTCAAACCAATCATGAAAAAGCAGACACGAGACCGAAAAGCTCCAGAAAAGATTGACTTACCATATACACAGACGGACAATCGTTTATCCTTCTTCTCACGCTCCACTTTCCACTTATCCTCGACACAGGCACAAATGTTTTAGCCTCGTGAGACCATCCTGATCTCGCGAGCTTTCAAGGTTTCACTCGCAGATCAGTCTGGATACTTTCCGTTAAAGAAAATTTGGGAGCAGTTCACCAAACGAACGTCCAATCAGCGTTGGCTTTGAGGCGGGTTGAGGTGTGACGCAACGAGAAGCGCGACAGTTCAGTCTAAAGAACATGGCGGCTTCAGCGGATGAAACTAGCATCAGCGTGGCTATCGATCCTTTGCCGACATGTTGCTTATTTGCTGAGCTAACGAGCCTTTACCTGCAGCAGCAAGAGTAGCCTGGCTTGTGGTTGTGTTTTCGTCGTCGCTCGATCTGTTAGTACGTCATATGCTTCGTTGATCTGATTGGTTGATTTGGCCCGTCTATCACCAACATAGGCCAATCAGCTAACCAGTATTTTCGCCCCTTACCAAAACTACTTCAACGGAAGGTTTCCAGATGGATATGCGGAGCAAAATCCATCTGGCGGAGTCAGGTTACAAATGTTTTGATTATTCTAACGCAAAATTAGTGATGGGAAGTCGACTCCAAAAAAGTTGATTCTTCGACTCTTAATAGCCCTAGTGTCGGAGTCAGGGCCGGTTCTAAACATTTGGAGGCCCTAGGCATAATTTATGTTGGAGGCACCTAGTGCCACACCTCTCCTAATAAAAAGCAGCACTTCAAACAAACATTCCTATGCTTTTTGTTTATACAACATGTTATTAAAATTTTGAATAGTAGACAAAAACAGTTCAAATGTATTTTCTTGTCCTAGAAACTTGAAATAAACATTCCATAAATCAACGCCTCTACAGTATGATACTGTATTACGAATGAAACAGGCTGAAAACAGAAAACTGCTGTATATTTACAGACATTCTGTAAAAGATACAGCATGATACTGTTTTAAGAAAATACATTATAATACTGTTAGAAGCTACCTGCAAATTTACAGTAAAGTTTTACAGTAATAATATTGGTATATTATATTGCTATATAACAAAATAAAACGATTAGTTCTCCTGGGTAAAATGTTTTATTAGATTAAAACTACTTTTTTAGCCTTTATGTGGAAGACGACATGAATTTCACACAATACCTCGCTCGACAGAAAAGAACACCATGGTTGATGATGATGATAATGAATAAACAGTTTTAACAAAAATGGACCATGTAATCAGTTTCAGCCAAAACATCCTAGTTATTGTCACTACAATAAAACTAATGTGGTATTTGCCACTGCTGCTATTTAAAGAAAAAAAGCATAAAATAAAATAAACAGAAAGACAAAGATTTTGAAAACTTCTACGAACTGTGGTTGTAGAAGATCATATTAATTATAAATATTAATTTTATAAACTATGGTGGTTACCATGATACCTTTTTGTAAAGAACATCCTGAAGAGTCCAAATTTCAAATCCCAAGGTGACTTTTCACTGGCTTTGGGCCTTCTACTCATGATTAATGGATGCGATCCCTGTCTAGAGTCCACCTTTTCTTCATCTGAAGAGCATCAAGGCAGTACTTGAGCTCGTGGAATGAAATGTAATGACAGTGGAGCCTCAGGGGTGCAGAGCTATCTGTTAACCTCCTGTGCACCCAACAGAGAGTAGCCATCTTCTCTTTTATAACACAGGAAACTCAAACGAGCTGCCCTGAACGAACTGAGGTGTGCTTGTTCTAGTGGAGCAGAAGACATCCATGATTGATTTAGAAGATGTGGCCTGTGCATTCAGAGCGAGACTCCACTTTAAAGAACCAGATTGTCCTATTCTAAGGCCATCTTTTCAGTCAACATAATGTAGTGTTCTCACATGTCAACACCCAGATCTGATTGTCCGCCTGTAATGCGTCACTGGAGGATTCATTCACATTTTAGGGATTTCCAAAAAAAAAAAAGTAGACTTAAAGAGTAGGATTAAGACACTTGAGGAACAAAAACAAAAAGAACTGAAAGTGAAGAAGAGTTTCATTGTTCATATAGAATAGATGGATAGGAGAGACAGGACAGACAGGAAAGGTCACCAGGACCTGCTTTACAGCAAAGAAAATAAATACAGGCTAATACTTTACAGACTTAAAGTGTGTATGTCAGGTTAAATTTGTAATTATGATTAACACAAAATAGTTAGGGGAAATACACTTTGACAAGTTGATCTCTCTCTCTCTCTCTGCAATCTTGACATCGCAGCCTGTTCATTATAGCCAGCCATGGAGCTTCAGAGCTAAGGCGGAGCTACAGATTAGGTGTCTCTAAATAACCCGCGTATCTAACAGTAGTTCCGCATGATTCGACCTTTTCCGTGAAGACTCTTCACACCAGATATTTATGTTTCTTCGATAGGAATTATTTACATTTCTGTTTGTCTCCTCATCTGTCTCACGAGGCTCAAAATTGTATGGCTGTGGCCCATCGTAGGTTTGAGTGGGATTTTGGATCTCAAAACTCTCCATACATGAATAAAACTTTTTTGGCACGTCTCCCTCTTCTGACTGTGTTTTAAAAATATGATCTTGACAGAAATGGCTATAAAGCTTACTGTAGGGCAACTACAGTACGGTAATAATTTTAATGATAATTACATTTTCACTCAGACATCTAACCCTTATTTAATATATCTAAAAAAAATTTTAACCTGACATACACACTTTAAAACAAAATGATTGAATGAACAAGAACGAGTAATTGTGTTCAACAGAAAAACTAGCAGCATAATGCTTTGCGAGTCATTTTTGGATGAATAATACTGATAAAGAAGAAAATAAATATAAAGCCATATTTTAAAAAGTCACCACTCTTCCAAAAAAATGAGATGATGTGATCAAATTACTCTTTCGCAATACAAAACATAGCTAATTTTGGCACAGAACTGGCATCCATGGCAAATGAGGAAATTAAAAGAGTGAAAACAACGATGAAAAATGAAAACGACAAAGAGAAAACAGATAATCAAGAAGCCAACATTACCATTCGTCAGACGCAGCCAGTGAAGAGTAGTGTGTTTGGCCAGAGAAAGAGCAAGCAGACGTCTCACCTTTTCCCAAGTGCAAGGGCCTCTGACGTGCATAAAAGGGTTTTGGTTTGAAGAGGAACAAGGGAAGGAATGTAGTATAGAAGGGTGAAAAAGAAATGCAAGGTGCAGAGAAAAGAAAGGGTAGGCAAACAGAGCAAGAGAATAATTAGAAAGAACAATCACATAACACTTGAAAAAAACACTTAGAGAAGACCGCAGACAGGTCCAAGACCTTCTTGGCGAGCACATTAGGATGCTTTTAGTGAAACCCGCACAGAATGACACACATTACTCTTTTCATTTACTTGGAACATTCACAAACCACTGATAGCTGACTGTTTGAAATGGATTCAATGAAGACATCTGTTCTCTGTGAGTCCCAAATAAAAGAGACAAGAACCGAAGCACTCTGTCTCACCTCGTTCCAGTCTGTAATGTCATGGGCTTTTATTGAAATGACGACAACAGGCAGTTCAACTTTTTTTTTAAGGGACGCTCAACCTCAAACAGCAGCGGCCTCTACCATAGTCTGGGGAACTCCTGTGTAATGTACCTTGGTTTACATTGATTAGCTGTACTTTCTTCCAGAATAGCTGAAGAATTCCCAAACTCAAGGATGCAACCAGATATTTAAGATTATGGTGATTAAATGTAAATGATTGAGTCCATAAAAAAAAACACCATCCAATAAATATTCACTAATCTGAATATTTGGAGCTTCTGTTCTACTCTTTCACATAAAGTTTGGCACTGTGTATTGCAAAAATGGCTTCCGATGTTCCTCATTTGTAAGTTGCTTTGGATAAAAGCCTCTGCTAAAATACTACATGGCATGCCTCCCTAAATTTAAGGATATCAAAAATAAGGCTGCCCCCTAATAGTCGACCAAAAGTTAGTGGACGAGAAGAGGCTTAGTCGACCAAATTTTTATTAGACAGTTTCTCATAAAAAAAAACTAGGGATGGCCCGATACCATTTTTTTTTCAAACCGATACGAGTACGAGTATTTACATTTGTGTACTTGCCGATACCGAGTACCGATACCGATATTTCTACCGCAAAAGTAATAGGCTCCCAGAAGAGAAGACGACTATTTTAGAACACAGGTTAGAAGACTGTTTTTATTTTCTTCTCTGCTTGTTTTAACAAGTCTAAAAATAAATAAAAATTAGTAAAATAATAAATGTATTAACACACAAACCACTGTTAATTTACCATAAAAGCAAGCAGGCTACTGCGTGCATGGTCTGGCATGACTGAATGCGTGCAAAGTGCGCTCCCTTAATAAATCCTAAAAGCTGACAGTTCATCGCGATCTCACACATCTCTGTTATTATCAATGAAGCTGACTGCACAATCAATCTTTCATAATATCCACACTTTGTTTGTTATAATTAGAGGATTTGCCAGCATACAGAATTCAGCACTGAACAAAAAAGTCCGTTTTGAGCGGTGAGGGGAGTCTATCTTAAATGCTTCTGATTGGCCATTGCGTTCCAGAAATCAACACATATGTCTGTGATTGGCTACATCGCTCAACATTGACTACGTTTACATGCAGCCAAATTTCGGGTTATGGTCGGGTTAAGGTCACTATTCGGGTTTCTGAAACATTAGGGATAACCCGTTTACATGCGTGAGCAGAGAGAGTTACTCCTGTATACATGGAATTGCAATATCCCGATGTAAACGCGACGCGCGGTTAGCGTCTGGACCATAGACAGTAAAAGAAATGGACAGAGCGATCTCATTGGAACTCAGTTGAGACAGTTGAAGCCCACTTTTAGCGATTTTTGAGAACTTCCGTTCCTGACGCGCAGACTCAGACCGACTCAAACTAAGCTTGATGACGTGAGCAACCTGTCTGACAGACGTTAATCTTCTAGTAGCTGTGCGTGAAAACTGCCAACGTTAATCTTGCAGAGACGGGGAACTTGAGCAAAGAGTTCTTTGGCGTGAGTGAGCAGGAGTAAGTATTCCGTTGCTTTTATGGACTCATTATCTATGGGCTTCTCCCTTGACGGGACGTCCCCCCGATTGCCTGCGAGCTTCTCCTGCTGTCTGTACGGTAACTTCTGTACAGCGCGACAGAGAGTCGAGTGGTTATGACGCAATCGTTAGCCTATTTTTACTAAATCTGTTTCTACGGGGCCATAGTGTAACATAGAAGGTAATGGAGCCCTTTATACATTGTCGTGTTTCTTTAGAAATAAATAATGGACAAATGGAGTCTTTAAACGCCTCAGATGTAAAGTTATTCGCTGTCAAAGTGACGCAAAAATGAATGGGAGTCAATGGAAATGCTAACGCAAGTGAAGTTCTGCTACAACATGGCGGCACCCGTCCGGCTTCAACTTCCGGTCGATGGATTACCCCCTTGGTCTGGACGTACGGACAACCTTAAGATGCAATATGCGTCATTTCCGATTCTTCTTCCTGTCTCCAAAGACAACAACAACAGCAGCACGCGGATAATGAATAGTTCGGGGCAGATAGCGATCGCCTTTGTTTGCGCTTTGGTGCTGGTAACGTTACTGACCTCGCTCCAAAAGTATGCTGTGCTGCGTCTCGCCATGTTTACTTCCGGTATACTGCACGCGGGGTTTTGTATGCGCCGAGAAGTTCCTCTACTCAAAAGACCAAGATTCCTTGCGAATAGAACATGCGCAGAACACACATCACTATGGGGATATGCCGATGCGCGTTTACATGACCAAAAATTCGGGTTAGAAAAGGGGTACCCCAGGTATAATATCCCGGTTTTTAAAATCCGGGATATGAGCATATTCGGGTTTTTGCCGGTGTTTACATGGCCGTTCGCGACCGGGTTATTGCTAATATCCCGGTTTTGAACGGGTTATTGGCTGCATGTAAACGTAGTCACTGTAACCATGTTATGAATAGAAACTCTGTCCTGTAAATCGTTTCTATTTTGTTGTAGTTGTTCTTGTTGCTTTTCTGCAAGAGATGAATAAAAATCTTTTAGTTTTTATGTTTTATTCATAGATATTTCTAGTTTGCGGGAGTCCCGCGAATCGTTTTATTCTCCCGTAACCCGCACACACAGAGTGATTGCATTACCGCCCGCGCGCGCGCTCGGCCATCAGATCTATGATGCGTCTTCAGATGTTTAATTAGATTGCTGGTGTTAAACGATGTACTTTCTTTCCCTCCTCTCGACACCTTAGCTGAACATAACTCACAGTCTGCCTTGCTGTTGTCATCATCCCTTATCTTGAAATGAGCCCAAACCGCCGACATTATACTTTCCTATGCCTCAGTTCACCTCGACAAAGCACTCGCGGCAGCCAGTTTCGTTTTGCAAAATGTACGTGGTATCGGTGCGTGGTATCGGCGAATTTGTACGAGTACGAGTATATTAGGACAGTATCGGCCCGATCCCCGATGCCAGTATCAGTATCGATATCGGGCCATCCCTAAAAAAAACACCCAAAAAAACAGAGGAATTGGCAAAGTCAAACAATCTGTGATGGACAGATCATTAACACAGCTGGTAATTATGTCAGGCAGAGAATCCAAATGCTCGCCTCAAACATGGTTTATTATTTGAAACACGTTAGTAGCCTAATGTTAGCATGGCCGCTCTCTCTAAAGTAAACCTAGATAAATGTGCGTTAATATTAAACGTGCATTTCTCTATAGGCGGATTCCCTATACTGTGGAGATGATGAGTCAGTAGAGCTGCCCCCGACGAAAGACTTTTGACTAGTAGTCATTCATTAAAGCCATTAGTCGACTAATCTCACAATTATATGAATTTAAATACTTAACTGGGGAGTGGAATATGCATATTCCACAGTCAAACGCACGAACAAACACTGGCAAAAGTAATGATTATGAATGTGTCGAAAAAAATAACAAGGACACATTTCAATAGTTTATTATACTGTATATTCTGAGTCAGTGTCGGCTGCAAAATCTCTGCAATATAGTGGACGCACCTTTAGAGAGAAATGCACCCTTCATACGGATTACATAATCAGAGTATTTGTTTTTGAGTGAATTGGTTCATTTAAATGTAGACATTTCAAGCTTTCTATGGCTACATCTACATTAATCCGGATACATTTGAAACCAACGTTTTCGTTTCAAAACGCTCTCCGTCCACACCAGCGTTTTCCACACTGAAAAGTCAGAAAGCGCTAAACTCCCCTTAATGCGCACTCTTAATATCACAACACTGCAAACAATGTAACATATTTTAGCAACTGTGTGAAAGTGAATAGCACATATGCACAATATCGGTATAAACATGAATATCTATTAGTACAATATGTGTCACATGGCTAAACATGCGTCATCAATACCTCCATTTTCACAATCCACATTACAACACGAAAGAGGCGTAATTTTTGTTTAAAAAAAATGCCATATCAGTGTGGACGGAAGGCCAAAACGGAGGGAAAAAGATTGTATTAATGTGGACAAGGCCTATATTTCTCATGTCTGTGAGACAAGTAGCCTATATGCTGAGTTTCAGTTCATTTATGTGAAGCGCTGCTGTTCAGGGAGACGGCAGAAAGCACACCCTGTTTGTTGTTTAACATTTTGTTGTTATTGTAAGCGTACACAAATAAAAGTTTCTACCCTTTACAGTTCCGAATGATGTATTACCAAAAATGACAGAGTATTTTAAGTTGAAAAAATGCAAGTGTTTGCGCCGGCGCCTCCATGTCATGCAGTAAGCGTGCTCTACTTCAGCTTCCACACTCCATACAAACACCTGATAATAGCGCACATTTATCGGAGTTAATGTTAGAGCCAGAGGTCAGGTAAAGTTGCTAAGCCATATTTAAGGTTGATGGATGAAATCCGAACGTTTGGATTTCCTGCCCGACATACTGTAATTACCACAAGTAACCGCCGTTAACGATCGGTCCCTCACGGACTGCGAGACTTCGCCACTTCCTGTGGAGTTTTTTTTATGCAACCAACAGACTAATTAAATCTAGTCTCTTCTCGTCGACTAACATTTAGTCAACTATTAGGGGGCAGCCCTACGAGTCAGCATCGTCAACATCAAGCATCCTTGCAGCCGACCACTGACTTAAACAGCAAACACTAGTATTTCAATCAATTATTAAAACGTTCAGACAGTCTCCTTTCTGCTTTCCCCCCCCCCCCCCCCGACACATTCCTAATTACTTATGCCAATGCGCTGCGCAAAGCTTTAAGCTTGATTGCGTAAATTATATTTTAAGGCTCATTATTATGGTTTAGTATTTATTTCTCTGTAATGTACAACAATCTTCTACATTACAGAAATGCACCTACAGAGAAATGAAACCCTGAAACTGAAACCATACCCCACCCCCAGGCCTATATATTTAAGTAACTATATTAATATCATAAATGTGACTATTTGACTAATAGCTTGCATGAATGACTACTAGTCGACTAGAAAAAACAGGGCAGCTCTAATCAAAGAGAAAAAAAAAATTAACTGGATAAAATAAAAAAATAAACTATGGTTTACTGGCATTTTTTACCTGTTTTTTTACCTGGCTTACCTGAAGTTTACCTGGCATAAAAAATAAAAAATAAAGTATTTTAAAGTGCTAATTTGGATATTAGTTTTTGCTGTAGTAGTGAAATCAAAGTTGAGAATCATCTGTGCAAAAATGTACATTTAAATATTTAATTTACAAAATGTAAAGAAAAGAACACTTTTTTTTTTTTTTTTTTTTTTACAAACAACTGTTCAGCTGGATATTAGTTTTTTGCTGTGGTCAAGACTTGCCTTTGCAAAAATGTAAAATCTACAAAATCAACACACAAAAGCACACAGCTGGGTCTTGCTGTTAAAATCGTTTTTACAACATAATGCTCTGAACTACATTTCTCTGACTGGCCAATGAGAGACAAATGAGGACTTTGAGAAAAGAGCGCACTTAGCAAAACACATGCCAAACTTCATGCCCCGGCACGCCTGTGTAGTGTACAAAGAGTTTACATTCCAGAATTTACAAAAGGGAGTAGACAATGCAATTTTAAAGGGTGAGTGATGTTAAACAATGCTTTAAGATAAACTCATCATTATAAGTAACAAAGAGAAAAGTGTTGGTGTGTTCAACCGCAGGTCTTATTTTTCAAGATACAGTTTAGAACTTCATAAGTATAAATGTGCAGGCAATTTCTAAGTGAAAATGGTTTCAAAGGAAATCCTACACCAATTTTTTTTTTCCCCAGTGTATTTCGACAAACGAGAACCGGTATTTAACCTCTGACTCAATGATAACATCAGACTGTACCACAGGCCTTTGAACCCTTGTGTGCTTGCAGATAAAGCATCTGTAGGAGTTAACAGGTCAAAGATTTTATTGCACTGGTTGAAAGACAAACCTGATTGATGATGTAGACGCCGTAGTCCAGTTGCTGACGCTGTAGGATGGGGTGCAGATAATACAGCCAGTACTTCAGGTGCTCGTCCCGGTTCCTGAAAGGGATGATCATTGCCACCTTCTGCTGGGCGATGCAGTCTGTGGGTTTAAACCGCCCGCCGGGCTGCAACACAGAGTTCTCTGACCTCACGAGGTCTAGGGTGACCGGGTCTGAGAACTCAACCCGGAGTGGACCCACTAGAAGAACCGAGACACAAATTACATGCTTTATTATTGGAGACCTACATCTCATTTTATTAAAGGGAGAGTTCACCAAAAAATGAAAATTCTGTCATCATTTACTCACCCTCAAGTTGTTCCAAACCGGTATGAGTTTCTTCTGTTGAACACAAAAGAAGATATTTTGAAGAATGTTGGTAACCAGACAGTTTACGGTAGCCACTGACTTCCATTGTATTTTTTTCCTACGATGGAAGTCAATGGCTACCGTCAACTGTCTGGTTACCAACATTCTTCAAAATATCTTCTTTTGTGTTCAACAGAAGAAAGAAACAACATAGAACAACATGAGGGTCAGTAAATAGTGACAATTTAAATGTTTGAGTGAACTATCCCTTTAACAACAATATTGGGACTGGATGACTTCAACCATTACAAAGTAAACCATGTCACCTTAGAAAACTCATTCTTACTCATTACACTATGGTGGTATCTGATTACATTATCATACTACTGTTGCTACAATCAGCAGCAGTGTCAATGTTGTCTGACAAAAGAGAAAGATAGCCAGCCAGGACAAAATAACAGACACAATGCTTCTCTGCCAATTTTTCCATTACGACACAGGGCTTCAGGGAAGCCAATTCATCAGCATCAGTAGATAATGTGAAAACTACCAAGTGACACTTATGCAAGAGACAAGAAATTGCTGTATTGTCAAAAAAAAAAATTAAACACAGAGGGGTAAATGTTAACATCCAGAGACTCGACAGCTGTAAAAACATGCTTTTGTTTTTGGAATCTGGATTGAGGGAAGACAAAGTGACAGGTCACATAATTTATAACAAACACAAGTTTCTCAGAAATACTAAACTGTGTTGATTAATAATAGACCAGCAAAATTGTACGTGGATTCTGGTAAAAAAAAAAGAGAGAGAGACTATTTTATTTAAAACCAACCGATCTAAACCTGCCAATAGCACGCACAGAATGAGAAATCTGTCCAGAACATGCCTGGTGTATATTTAAACCCAAAATATTGTATTTTGAACAACTTAACCAAAACACAAAATGTATATTTAGAAAATGAAGCCTGCTTTACACTTGTATTTATCATGAAAACAGCCTCATGATACAAAAACAATGAATGTTCCTTTAAATAGGCTTAATTTTCAAATGTCTAGAAGACACTCCAAACTAAACAGAAAAAAATCAGGAGAAAAAAAAAAACAAAGACTGGTTAACACTAGCTATATTAATGCATGCTAACATCAACTAGTATTACATATATTTTTAACTTATCAATAATTAATTGTGCATTAGAATAGTTAAAAATGGCATTAAACTTTCTGTATGTACACTAGTGAAAAGTTTGAAAGAAGACCCTTATGCTTGAGGATTAATTGATGAATAGAAAATTCAATAGAACCATTTTTTTATTAGTAATGTTTTGTAACATAACGAATAGACATTATTGTTCATTTTATAGCATCCTTGGGAATAAAACTATCTTTTTTTTTAATCATCCTTCATTTTGAATGCTAGTGTAAAACTTTCAAATGTAGTGGAATCATGGTTTCCACAAAAATATTAAGCAACAAAAACGGATTCAAAATTGATAATGAGAAATATTTTTAAACAGTAAATCAGCAATAAGAATGATTTCTGAAGGATCATGTGACACTGAATACTGGAGTAATGATGCTGAAAATCATTGTCATCAGTTTTTATTGAGGATTATATATTCTAAATAAACAATAGCATGTATAAGTTAGATCTTTGAAACAGAAACTCACCCAAGCGAGGTGGATTGTCAGGGCATGTTTCCAGCTTTCTCTGAGTTTCTGTGATATTCGTAACAGATGACAGGCTGTTCGGTCTGATCTCCTCGGTAGTGACTTTCTGTTCGGTCAGTTTCCTGTGGATCTGAGGGGTTTGCTGATTTTGTACGAAGGATTGCCTTGAATCTGAATTTCTCATATAATATATGAGAGTGACAGAGATGTGAAGGAAACACAGCACAACCACCAGAGAGCAAGTCCTGTGCAAAAGACTGAAATTCACAACTGCATCCGGCATTGTAGAAATCCTGGATATGCTTTTGAATATATATAAAAAATAAAATAAAATAAAATAAAAACTATTTACAATCTAACCCAGTCACTTCCTATATATTCCCCACTTCCTGGGCTTTTTGAGGAACATATAATTATTTATATACTAAATTACACGTTAAACCCACTATCACATACTGTTTTAATTATAACAAATAAAATACAATGTAATATAATACTTATTTATACAAACGTCTCAACCAATTCCACCCAATCTTAAATAATTCAACAGCTTAGCTCAGTTCTCAGCTAATAACACGCGACCCACTATACATTTGGCTTATTTCCTTGAATTAAAACGTCAACGTTATGACAACTACTAAAAAACCGAGACTTGAACTTCAGTACCGATCATGGTTGACGTTTCGTGTATGAACGCAAAAAAATAATAAGTCCGTTATAAAGTTTGTATTAGTCACTTGACTTGACGGCACGAAGACAGAAGTAAAACTCCAGATAAATTTAAACGTCAGCCGACGGCATCTTCTTAAAGCCCACAAAATCTCCAGATTCCTAATGTTTTACATGATACATCTCCGTGCCAGAGCAATCCGCGATAATCAAATCGCAAGGGAGATGGCGAAAAGTTTCCGGACAGATTCCAAGCCAGTCCGTGAAGTAAGGCGTCGCGTAGAGCTTTGGTTGATATGCGCTCAGCTCAGTTTGATCTGTAGAGACTCTGCTGGCGGATTTGTTGTTCATTTTGACTTGTAGATCAGCGAAAAAGCTAGTTGCGTCATCAAATGAAGCCAGCTACAGCGGGTAAACCTTCAGCTTCAAAATAAAAGCATGCCCTGAGCGGTTTAATTCCATTTCATTCCCAGCATATATTGTTTTACTCCTTGGACAGCCCAGTAAAATGCTTTATTTGTGAAACCAGTAGGAAATACACTGAAATACATCGAAATGTGCTTGACACCCACTAATGTTAATAAAGTAGCCTAATCCAATAATTGATTAAACATGATGTATAATATGAGACAGAGCAATTTTCATGATGGATTAGATATAGAACCTTTACAATTTTACATATACATTACCAAATTTGAAAGCCTAGTTGTATTTGTATCAGCACTTTGCATGCTTTCGGGCACTGGCATTATCTTTCAGAGATGCAAATTAACTCATTTCCGGTCATGTGACTATTTACACCAGCCATGAAAAAGTCAAAGTAAAATTAAACGTTCACAACCTCTTCAAACTCAAAAGCACACAAATATTACCACTGGGAATAAATTGGTATTAAAACAAATTAATGGTGATGACCAATATGATTGGTCACTCGTGTGTGAGATATGCCTATAGTCTACTTCTTTCTTTCTTTCTTTCTTTCTTTCTTTCTTTCTTTCTTTCTTTCTTTCTTTCTTTCTTTCTTTCTTTCTTTCTTTCTTTCTTTCTTTCTTTCTTTCAGAATGGTAAGCGCTTCTCACGTAGATGTTGAGCGCAGCCTTGTGGTCTAAAAGGAATATAACACCATAAATGTGAAATACAACGGCATGAGCAAACCTTTCTTACAGTTTTCCCCGATTGCTAAGTAACACACTATAACTGATTAATTTGTCACAATTTCCAAACTATTCATTCAGGTTTTTTCAGTTTATTAACATAATAAATATAGCCTATAGGCCTCAAAACGTTTCACACATTTAACCTGTTTTTACTTCATTCTTGTTTAATTCAAGTGTCACACAATGTGAACTCAAGTAGCGCACATTAATCCATGAGTAGGCTAAACATTACACACTTTTGGGGGTCTGCAAAAATGTAAGCACATAATATGATTTACACTCAATTTGCACTGTAAAACAAACTTTTTGCAGAAATCTAAACACTTTTTTTTTTACATTAGACACATGCAAAACTATGACAGCTCTTGTGTTTCATTCAGAAATCACTGCCATTTAAATGCCACAGAAACCACTTGTAGGCCTGCATAAATTGATCACTTAGAAATCAAAACTCATTGTTTTGAGAAACAAATACATTCTTCACGCTTGCATTTCTGTTTACGTATTTTGTAAAAATGTACTGAATATGCATACAAGTCAAGTCACCTTTATTTCTAGAGCTTTATAAAATTCAGATTGTTTCAAAGCGGCTTCACAAAATAGTAAAAATTCTCCTGAAAAGCAGCTCTACAAGCCAATAGTGTCATTATTCAGCTCAAGTCAGTTCAGTTGTTGACTGTGAAGTTTATCAATTGTGCATACTGTGTGTATTGCATGCGTGTGACAAACTCCTGTGCACTTCACTGCACACTGAACAAGCAAAATAAACAAAATAGTGTTTTACATTGTTCACATCAGTGTGTTTTTGACGTGTATATGTCTAATCATTAAATGGTTGTAGTACTGTTCTAAAACACAATTTTTAAAAATAGTTTTGAATGAAGTGTTTGCTTTTGCAAGAGATGTGGGATATTTTGCATGTTGTGAGAAATGTAGCCATAGTTTCAGAAATTGTGTTAAGCAATTTGAAAAAACTTTAAATATCTAAACTGATGATTAGAATCTCAGGATAATAACTACTTACACATACAGTATAATTACAGTACACAACAGTACTTTAGATGAGGCAAATTTCACTACAGTATGTAGCACATGTACACCCTCAAACTCGTGATTGTCAAATTTATTTGTAGCCATTTTTTTTCATATACTGTATGTATATTGTGCAGAACTGAGTGACGACTGCCTAAGGGAGGTATAGAGAAAGTCAGAAGACCAAGAAACTTTTATACACTGTATACTGTAATGAAATCTGGCCGAAGGTGCAGTGGATGCTAAATGTATTAATTTATTTATGTTTACTGTATTTCGTTGCATACAAAGTTCATATTCAGTTCTTTGGTATTTGAACTTTTCTTTTCGCTTTTCACTGAAAAGTAACTTTACCTAAAGCTCTTTGTTGTATTTTACTGTAGTAGCATATGTACTCTTTCATTTATGTTGTATATTGCAATAGACACTTAGCTGTAAAATCATTATTGAATAAGAGGTTTTTGTTGCATGCAGAGCTATGAATTGATATCTGGAAAGTAGTCTGTGTATTTGTTAGGCTTTGTGAGTCATAAGGGCCAAAGTTTGATTCCGACAAAAGTGATGAAGGACGGTTTTGACTAAAATATTGGATTTTGAGGTGACAGTTTGAGGTTTGTTGCTGTGTAGTTCGGAGATTGTGTTTGACTGAAATGAAAAAAATTTAATGATGTTTCAGATGGTAAATCAACCTTGATTTTCATCTTTAAAAATACCTTTCACATCCTCATGATATCATGTTTTCCCCATGTGCTGCAAACTAGAATGCTTTTCACAAGTTCACTGTGACTCCAACACACACACATCCTCACACACACACAGAGGGCCCTGGCACTTTAGACTTTATACCCTGTTCCATTGTAACTGGCCTTGGCTGGGACCTTATAAGCTCTTTAGCCTATATCTTTGTGTAAAAATACCTTAAATAAACAAAATACAAATTTAACATTAAATTCTAAAATCTTACCTAACAGTTTTAATTTGGCACATTACAGTTTTTCTCGATTGTTTACACACATTTTCTGAAACCATGCCTCATACTCTCAGAACTCTACACACAAATCAAAAAACACACACACAATGGGCAAAACCCCTCAATTCTCCTGCAAAATTAAACTTTACATTCAAAACAATGTTATTTCTTCTCAAAATGGTATCTTGTTTGCAAATGACACACAAACCATCATATGAATAGACATGTATAAGAACCAGTTGAACACTGATGTGCTCAATGTAAAACACTATGATGAATGGAAAACACTTCTTCTCCATTCATCATAATGACTTAGGCCTTTTTTTTGTTCAGTGTTACACTTATGTATATGTATATACTGTTTATACAGTATATACATAAGTGTGTTGTAAAATATTTGAGAATATTGTTTTTATACTCAGCAAAATACACCGTAACAAATATATTTATTTTTCCCACAAAAACAATGTACACAGTGTACATCCCAACCAACACAAAGTTGCACATACAGTGGTCTACATACAAAACAACAGAAAAATGTACTGTATTACAGTAAAAAAACAAACAAAAAAAACTATGCTGCATCCTCTCTTCTGTGTCAGTCTTTTATGCTAAAGCTCTGATTGCAATGGTAAAACTGTGTGACAGGTGTTTGCCCATGTGAGGAGTCAGTGTGCATATTTGAATGGCAGTGTGTTCCTTGTGGAAACAAGAGACTTTATGCATGAAAATTGTGCCAAATGCAGAGAATTGTGTAGTGTTTTGAAAAAAGTGTGTTTTAGAACTGCAATTTGAGTGTAAAGCAGGAATTGTGCTTGTAGTTTAGCAGAATTGGTTCAGAGGGTTGGTGCATGAGTTACATGTTGTGGTCATTGTGTCTCAAGTACCAGTATTTGTGTGTAAACAATTGAGAAAAACTGTAAGCTAAACCTGTCAGGTTCCCTTCTTTTTGAACACACATCTGAGTCATCAATCCTTAAAACAGCAAACTTCAGGGCAGGCCATGAACAGAATGTCCTTTCTGAAGGAATGACAAACAAACCGTTGCTATACTCCTGTTGAGGATGTTTACTGAAGTTAGATTTAGCTTGTTAAAAGCCATAACAGAACATCATTTAGTGCCTTGGTAGATCACTTGCTTATAGCACAACCAAGAATTGATGATGTAGACACTCAACACTCAATTTTTTTATTCAATATTCATTCATTAAAAATTAATTTGTATCTGTAAGATATTATTAAACTAATAGCATAATAATACATAAGTTAAGTTGTTCTAAAATACATAAGATATAATGAAATGCCAAGTGATTGAACCTGGAAATAATTACATGTTTTTGACAAAAATGTCATGACTTTTAGGCTAATGTGGTTAAAATTTGTCCAAAGCACCAAAAGGGTTAAAATTGTGGACAAAACCATGGGGGAAAACAGAACCCCCCACCTATCTTTACTAGTTGTTTGTCTATCACTTGTATTAATCCTCCTGTGAGTTTAGCTGCCTAATATCATCCTGTAAAAAATATCCCTTAAAAACAAATTTACTGCCGCCTGTTTGCCACACGTGGCTTTAGAAGTCAACTAACACAAAACGCAATCCTGCCTACACTGCTGACCAACTGCTATACCGTTCAGACCCATTCAAAATATCTTCGCCATATTTTTGTTTATTTGTTCAAATCAGTCCACACTACTAAAACAAAACACTCGATAGTAAACTTCGAGAGCGCGAGAACATGAACGCGCCCTGTGTGAGCGAGCGCGCTGACGTCACACATCCCCAGCTATTGCTGCGCGAGAGCGATGTGTTGGAATGCGTGAGTCTCGCGCACTTCCTCGACCGATTTGAGAGTTTGGAAATAACTTCTCCCGAAACTTGTTTCTGGAACAACACCGCCGAACAACGAGTGAACGTCTCCGGTGAGTACGCGGGCTTGGTTCCGTGGGGTTTTGTGCTCATTAGGGTGTGGTTTTGTGTTGTTTTGTGTCGCGCACGAGCCCAACTAAGTTTGAGTAAGTGGAGTGAAAATGGAGGTTTACATTGAAAGGGAGAGGCGCTGTCCAGGGCTGATTTCAGCACGGAGAGAGATCAGATCAGGACCACGGCTAACACACTCACGCTGACCAAATTAAAAGTGAAAAAATGCGTAAAAGTAATGAGAAATGAAACACAAAAACCCCACCATGATCTGCGATCGACTATATTGAATACAAAGTGTAACTTTGTCGGGTTGTGTGTGCTGTTGTTGCTGTTGCATGCATGCAGTTTCCGGAAAAGTATATATTTTTTCTTCTTAGTGAAGGTTCGTAATGCAACTTTTGCTGTCAGATTGACTAGAATTGTATTATATACTATTATTCCAGCTGAAAAATTACAATCCTTTCACTTTTACAGTAAATCACATCATCTCTTTTTGGTGTCTTTGAGCTATTGTTTATTCGAAAATCACCAGTATTTCCGTGAAATGCGACTTTATTTGATTTGAGCCATGTTAAACTTTATGCAGTCAGTGATTTTTGATTGTTATGCCTGTAACATTTCGTGTAAAGTGGAGCTCGCTCTTCGTCTGATTCAGATGGGTCGTGTTTGGAGCTGTCCAACAAGGTCAAAGTTTTTCACTCCTTGTTTTGATTGAACACGATCACTGTATCTTTTCACTTAAAGCTCGATTGCGCATTTTAGCACTAAACGTTTAGTGCTTTGCTGATTAAATGAGTTGATCTCAGTAAACTTTCATGTAAAGCTGCTTCAGTTCACACATCGTCTATATTTTTTTCCTCCTCCGCTGGCTAAAGTTGGTGGTGCTGTTTTAAAATGGCCGAACACACATTTCTGAGCATGCAAAGCTCACAGGCCCTCATCACACACATGCATGACTCTGTTTGCCACTTTGCCAAGATGACCATATTTCTTACAATAGAACAGATTTAATTAAACTTTAACTGGAGAGTTTTTGTGATTTATTGTTTTTCTTTTTTTTCTCTTCAACACTCAAAAAAATAATTTAATGCATATTTTGTATGTAACATTGACTGTTTTTAAACCTCCCTCTCTCTTGTCTGCTGTAATTCCCTAAAATAACCCAGAGTTAAAGCTGCTTATTGCTTTAGTGGACTTCATACAAGAAAGAACAATGTAATTTATTGACATATATAGATTGTGTTGATTTAGGCTTTGTTTGCTTCTTTTTAAATGTGTTTGAGAGCATGAAATCAAACAATCTGCTTTTTCATTGATTAATCAATCAGAGAATGGCTCAACTGAGACTCATCTCAGAAAGGTCAAATCATTGACCCTTATTTTACTTAATGAAATCGCAGTGTTTGTTTTGTCATAGTCAGATGACTTGCTCTCAAAAGATCACAGTTCTCACATCCTTTTCAAACTTCTTCTTTCATTTCACATACACATTATTTTTTTAATAAAATTTAAGATGATAATACAAATATGCAATTTTTTACAATTTAGTGGGTTAGTTCACCCAAAAATTAAAATTATGTCATTAATGACTCACCCTCATGTCGTTCCAAGCCCGTAAGACCTCCGTTCATCTTCGGAACACAGTTTAAGATATCTTAGATTTAGTCCGAGAGTTTTCTGTCCCTCCATTGAAAATGTATATGTACGGTATAATGTCCTTGTCCAGAAAGGTTAGAAAAACATCATCAAAGTAGTCCATGTGACATCAGTGGGTTAGTTAGAATGTTTTGAAGCATCGAAAATACATTTTGGTCCAAAAATAACAAAAACTACGACTTTATTCAGCATTGTATTGTCTTCCGGTTCTGTTGTGGATCCGCGTTCAGTGCCGCTGCTGACGTAAGACGCTGCTGACGTGTTATCAGGTGCGAAAGATCTTCGTTTACAGTCTGAGGGAGACGCACGCTGTAAACAAAACAATCTTCGCAAACATGTCTAAGGATTTCGACAGAGGAAGACTTGCATTTTTTTGCCCAGCCATATTTATTTGAACCCGAATACACGGACGCACCAGAACACGTCAGCAGCGTCTTACGTCAGCAGCGTCACTGAACGCAGATTGACAACAGAACCGGAAGACAATACAATGCTGAATAAAGTCGTAGTTTTTGTTATTTTTGGACCAAAATGTATTTTCGATGCTTCAAAACATTCTAACTAACCCACTGATGTCACATGGACTACTTTGATGATGTTTTTCTAACCTTTCTGGACAAGGACAGTATACCGTGTATACATTTTCAATGGAGGGACAGAAAACTCTCTGACTAAATCTGAAATATCTTAAAGTGTGTTCCGAAGATGAACGGGTCTAACGGGCTTGGAACGACATGAGGGTGAGTCATTAATGACATAATTTTCATTTTTCGGTAAACTAACCCTTTAAGTTACTGATTGTATTTACTGATTGTGTTCTCTAAAATCAGTGTTTCTATTTACATTTCAGCTGGTTGAGCATGGCTGCTCAGATGGTGTATTCTGCTACTGCTGGTATCTTCATGCCTGGAGGCATCCCACTACCGGAGGTGGGCCATGACCTTCCTGAGCTGCCTCGGAATGATGTGGCCGCCCCTCAGCTAGTGATGCTTGCTAACGTAGTGTTATCATCAGAGGCGTCTTCCTCAGACTACAATGCAGAAGAGAAACAAATGGTTGAACTCAAGACTGTTGGATGCAACAACTACTCTGACAGTGAGGAAGAGGGTGTTATCAGATACAGCCTTGACAATTCGGAGATGTCCGAGGACACGTACGCTGAGCAGGCCACTCAGGTTGAGGTAGATGTTACAGAAAGAGCGCTGGAGCAAGTTGAAAGAGCGCTGGAGCAAGTTGAAATGGAGCGAGCAGAAGATCTCTCGAACCCGTGCGAAAAGGCCCCATCTGAGTCCTCGCAGGCGGAAAAACGTAAGCATACCCCGGTTGTCATCTTCGAATCCAACAAAAAGAAGAAGAAGCCCTTCTTTTGTAAACCTTGCCAGTACCAGGCCGAGAACGAGGAGGACTTTATTCACCATATCCGCATTCACAGTGCCAAGAAAATGAATGTGGTAAATGGTGCGGCTGACTCTGACGACGATCCGGCCAGTGAGACAGGACAATCTCAGACACCGAACCAAGAGAATAGTGAAAGTTTGAGTAACTCCAAAGGTGTGATCCGCTGTGAGCGCTGTGGGTACAATACCAACCGTTATGACCACTACATGGCTCACCTTAAACATCATACTAAGGAGGGTGAAGATCAGAGAGTTTTCAAGTGCACCATTTGTGCTTATACCACCATCAGTCAGTACCATTGGAAGAAACATCTGAGGAACCACTTTCCCAGCAAGCTTTTCACTTGCAACCAGTGTTCATATTTTTCTGACCGCAAAAATAACTACATACAGCACATCCGGACCCACACTGGTGCGTCTAAAATCGAACTCAAATAATTTGAGTTCACATTTCAGTGTCCTTTTATATTATCAGAAATGTATGAAAAATCAAACACTTGATTTTATGTGATTATTCTTTTAGGTGAGCGTCCGTTCCAGTGCATATACTGTGAGTACTCCAGTTCCCAAAAAACTCATCTGACCAGACACATGAGAACCCATTCAGGTGAGTCTTTTGTCTGTCTTTTGAATCATTCTTGTTCTAAAATTGATCTAGGGTGTATATAGTTATGTATTTTAGGATTTATAAGCTAGTTTGTTAAATTCCAGTTCACATTTTGATTTAATAACTCTGTTCCAAAACCTTCTGAGCTGCCTTGTTCCAATAAATTTCAATAGATTTAGCCAATAACAGTATTTTAATAGAATCAAAATACATAGCATGCACAAATCTATCAACTAGAAATTAGCTAAAGCAATCATTTTAATTACACTGATTAATTATTTATAAAAATGAGTATCGTTAATTAAATACATTTTTAATCATTTGACACAATTGGCCATTCGTCTTGGATTTGTTTTTTCATTGAACCTGTCACTGTGCATTCTCTGAAAAGTATTGTGTAGAATTTAAAACTGTAGTTTCCATGTTTGGGAAAAATCATGTGAATTAAATCTTAGTCATGGAAATTGTGTATAGCTTTGTGAGGGAGTTCTCTGGGTTTTGGGACAAAGCAAATGTGCTGTTAATCAGCTATGACTCAAGGCTTGTGTTTTTATCTTGTCAATGATGTTTCTCTCTTTTGTTGCTCTCCGTGGAGCCAGATGGCTTTGGATAAAATGGTACAAGGTTTGTGGTATACAGAGTGAATTATAATGTGATTCCGTATTGTGATGTGTTTGTCCGTCTTTTATCTGTATTCCCCGCATGAGACTTGCGTCTGTGTTTCTCTCAAAATGTTGAAATAAAAGACTGATTGTTCTGTCTTGACCTTCTCCTTATGGTCTGTCCACAATAGGTGAGAGGCCTTTCAAATGTGACAACTGCAGCTACCTGGCAGCCAACCAGCACGAGGTGACCCGCCATGCCAGACAGGTCCACAATGGACCCAAGCCCCTAAGCTGCCCTTACTGCCAATACAAGACAGCCGACCGCAGCAACTTTAAAAAGCATGTTGAGCTCCATGTCAACCCTCGCCAGTTTCTTTGCCCAATCTGCAAGTATGCTGCGTCCAAGAAGTGCAACTTACAGTATCACATCAAGTCCAGACACCCGGGAAGCAGTGATATCTCGATGGACGTGTCAAAGGTAAGACTGCGTGTCAAAAGGACTGACATCGATGATGTTTCGCCAAATGAGCTTGCGACTGAACAGGCTGGAACAAGGCGAAGTGAGGAAAAGCAGTTGGGAGAATTGGATGACGTTGAGTCAGGCCCCATCAACCTCTCCATTAAGAAATCTAGTAAACCCACCTCTGCTGTGGAGACTGAGCTGACTGGCAAAACCTCGAAGAAAAATATAGATATCATTGTGAAAGAAAAATCTGGAAAGCCAAGCCAGCAACCCAACGAGAAAACTACAGAGAAAAAGGCCATGGCGAAAAATGAGGGGAAAGAGAAAACCGGTAAGAAGGTTAAAGGAAAGACTTTGGTGAAAGTTATGGACATTGCCTCGACACAAACAGAGGGCTGCAATAACAAACAAGTTAATAAAAAGGAGTTGAAGAAGGTAGAGAAATCAATCAAATCTGTGGAGAAAGTAACGAAAGGTCGTCCTAAGAAAGAGAAGCCATTAAAGGAGACCGCCAATGAAGTTATTGCAAAACGTCAACCCATTGTTGAAGAGCAAAGGTTCGATTTGGACAAAGAAAGAGTGGAGAAAGACCTTGTAGATAAACAGCAGCAGCACAAAGACAAGGAAGAAAGAGAGCGGCTACAAAAGGAAAACCGATTGCTGAATGATAAAGTGAAGGAGACCGAAGAGAAAGAATGTGCAAAGGATTGCAGGAAATCTCCAACCAAGAAGCCATGCAAGAGGCAGACAAAATTGTCAAAGGTCAACAGTGATACCCAGAGTAAAGAGGCAATGAAAGAAGTCAGGACTAAACCAGTCAAAAGAAAAGCAGAGAACATGAATGAACTAGCGACTGATTCTTCAGAAGCAACCTGCCCTTCAAAGCGGGTCAAGCGCACAAAGAAAGATACAGCCAAGCCATCAACAAGTTCTGGTGCTCCAGAGAGAAATCGCACCATACCTGATGTTCTACAGGCCATGAAGAGCAAAACCAAGAATGCTGAGGCAAGTACAAACAAACCTGAGAGTTGTGTCATTGAAACCGTGAAGACCGATGAAGTCCCAGAGAAGCTAAGCCCTCCAGAAGCTGAAAAAGGGCTCACCACAGAAACACTGAAGGTGCTTACCCAACCAGACGAGCAGACACCTACTGATGTGACCAATCAAGGTGATAGAAATCACAAGGAGACCGCTGCTGTTTCAGAGGAACCCACAGTCTCGTGCGATCCTCCCTCAGAACAACCTAAAGAAACCGAGAATAAGATCTCACATGAACCAAAAGAAATTCCAGAAGAAGACAGTGGAAGTGAGATGCCGTCACCTACTGACAGCGAGAGCTCTCCAGGTTTCAGCCAACAGCAGCCTGTTTTCAGCTCATCTCTTGAACTTCCTGGTCCGCCTGGTCACAAATCCACGGATGCAGAGGATGACGAGGGTATCCACAGTAATGATGGGGGAAGTGACATCAGCGATAGTGCCTCTGAAGGAAGCTACGACTCTGGTCTTAACGGACTGGCTGCTGCCACCGAGGGTGGAGAGAAACTTCCAGAGACTCCAACAGAAGAGCTCCCATCTTCAACCAAACTGCTCAGTCACACGTGTATCTTCTGTGACCGTACGTTTTCTTTAGAGATGGACTACCGCCGCCACTTGAACCGCCATTTAGTAAATGTGTACTACTTGGAGGGGGCAGCTCAGGGTGACAAGTGAGGAGTATCTTTTTTGTGTTCAAGGCAGTTTATGAGGTTCTCAGAGACTTCCGAACTGAACAAAGCTTGTTCAGGTTGTAAAAAAAATGAGGTTCCTGTCTGTTCTTGTTGGCTTTACGGCCCATGACAGACGCCCACATCAATGCTTTCTAGTTTTTAGCTTGCCATGACATGATGCAACATGAAACGTCAAACTAATATATTTCTTATCACAGTATTCCTTCAATTCGAGATTACAATCCATTGTAAACTTGTGGTAGGATCTTTTGAATTCCAAACTAACTGAATCTTCACTTAGTCATGTGCGCCATGACAGAATGGTCATCGTTTTGTCCCGCGTCTTTTTTTGTAACACTACTCGGACAACAAAAAAGGAGGGCTGCCCTGAAAGCAAGTAAACTTTGTCCCTCCATCCCTGCTGAGAGCTCAGATTAGCCAGACCCAGGTGGTCCAGCACTGAATAGCCCTGAAGATAATGGGGCTTTCACTGTCTTTGTGCTGTTCCACTCCACTGAAGCGCCTCCATCTCTGGGCAGCAAGAGACGGAGTGTGTGTTTAAAGCTGGCTAATGTCATTGTATTCAACTGTTTCTTTGTTCCCTTTTACAGTTTAGAGAGCACTTGACAACTAACCATAATCTTACCTTTGAGGCTCTGTTTCACATAAGCTGAACATTTCATTTAAACACAAAAACATTTCTGTACACTTCCTAGAGGTCTTTCTTTGATTAGGCTGCTCTGCCTTTTAAGGAAAGTAGTGTGTAGTTTGTAATGTTTGAATAGTATTAGGTTATTTTCTTTCATTGTATATTTGCTTTCATTGTATATTTACTCTTGTGTTTGTAGATTTTTTTTTTTTCTTGCGTATTTTTTCTGTCAAACATTCTGGTAATGCTTCAATTTCATCCTCAGTCCAAAGATTTTGTTGCTTTTGTCTGTATATAAACTGTACATATTTCTGTTCTTTACTTGCTCTTCAGTGCCTCAGACAATCAATTTGAGCATTTTAATTCATTTCTCAGATATGTAGATCTTATTTACCATCAGAAGAACGAATGTCTTGTCTTTTCTCTGTAAAACATTCCCTTCCATATCAAATTAATTATCTGCTTCAAAAATGTTTATCCAAAGTTTATCTACGGTAATCATATGACTTTCAACTGATATCGACTGACTTTCTTTAGTTTTTTTATGAGTGTGAATGTGTTGTTGCCACAAACCTTAAAATGTGCAAAAAGGAGAAAAAAATTAAATATATAGAAATAAATTGCCTTTAGTGCATTAAGTGCAATATTGAATTTTTGGATATATTACCAAAGCAAGATGTAGTTGGTAGAGTTTTAGGGGTAAAATCCCAGGCCTCAGACGGAGGTGTGGTGCTCCTTCAAAACCATCCACAGGGCCCCTGAAAAACTCTTGGACGGTTGGATACTTTATCACTGTAAACATTTTTATTTTTTAAGCACTGCATTTTTTGCTTTTCTTTTTTTAGAATAGCATGTTGCCAATTCACAACTTGGATTGTTGTCATTTACACATCTTTGTAATCAAGTGTTTGACTGTCTTTTCCATTTCCTAGTAATAGCAGTCAAATTATATCAGTTGAAATATTATATAATGTTGTCCCCTCGATTTAGCTTTTTATGAATGATCTGCAAAAACAGTTTACTGTGTGACCTGTATGCTTAGCAGAGGATGTTTCAATAAAATAAAAACTCTTGCCACAGTTTTGTTTATTTATGTTTTTTATTTATTTAAATGGCTGAATATATAAATACATTTCATTGTCAGGTCAATTCATAAACATTTAGTATAAAAATATGTAGCATACAAGCAATACATTGTTGAATCAGAACAATATTTTGAAAAGCAACTTGCACTTCAGCAGCACTTAAATGTTTTTCATTTTTTCCTTCTCACGTTGAGTCTCTCGGCTGCTTTCACAGACAGACCGATGTCCACCAGCGCCTGTGGCTTTCTAGTCTTGTAGGCGGGAGACTTGTTGATTCGCTGTCCTTTGCGATTCACGATGTGGGGCAGCAAAGGCGGGTAGCGCAAACAAAGTCCTGCTGCCTCAGGGGCGTGAGTCCTCAAAAACAGCTGATCTCCTTCAGCTGCTGTCACAGCAACCCAGCCTAAGAAACAAGAAAAATGATGACATAAATTGAAGTTTCTTCAAATATATATATATATTTTGTTTTTATTGGGCCTGACCCCCTGTAGTGAAAATCAAGTTTTTAATGTGGTTTATATATCTATGTGGTGTTTTAAATATGCTTTCAGACAAACCACGTGCAAATTTATAAAAGTCAACACCATTGTATTTCTCCCCTGTTCTCTATGCCACAAAATCTGTTGTAACCAATCACGTCAATGGGTCTGACGTTGTAGAGCGATACATAAAACGCATTACCATTCTGATAATCGACTTGTAGACGACCCTGTATAATTCTCTCTTCTAATTCTGAATCAGTTTCTGGTTCAAACATATATGGCTGAATTATCGTGTATTATTTACTACAGTTGAGCGAGTGGATCAGGAGGCCCCAGCTCGAGTGAGTGGAGGCGGGGCTAATTTGCATATTAAAGGAGCCGCGTATACTAAATGAAGCAAGGGTGTTGTTACATTCAAGCTATTTTAAGGTATGACAGAATTATTTTCACAGGACAAAACATTTAAATTTGCTATTTTGATTTTTAAATGATTGACTACAGGGGGACTATAAGACTTGACCATAAAGACTTACTATAAACCCTTACAAAAGTACTGTAGTGGTATCAGTATCACAAATATACCATATGAGTTCCATTAAAAAACCCTGGAAATTCAAAGAAGGTCTTGGTTTAACCAAGCACATTTTAAAAAATATAATATCATGAAATTTGTGTTTGTGGAAAAATACATGTTGGAAAAGGAAAAGGTTATTGTAAAAAAGTTATAATCAAATTTCTAGATTTGAGTGTTATCTAAACAAGCAATTCAATTTAGACATCCAGCACAACCTGGAAAGGCAGCAGGCACCAAGATCGAAAGAATTTTAAAGAATCAGAAAATTTATTCAACACATTGCTTAGTCTGCTTTTCTGCTTGACAATTTTTCTAAAAATTACCTGCTGATGAGATCTTGATGTCAGTAATTGCGGTGTTGCAGCCCTGCCCCTTGAGTTCAAAGTCTTGAGCAATAAGTGGTGGAAAAGTTTTCATGCGCTCCTCACCACCAGATGGAACCTTATCACAAAATAATGTAGTATCATGTAGAATTCATTTTACACACACACACATTTATATATATATATATATACAGTATATACATACTGCAAGAAGGATATTCCCAGCATGTTTCTGGTAGACTGCATCAGCCTTGTCCAAATTGGTGATGTGAATCGGGATGCGAGATGAGGCAACAACTGTTAACCAGCAAGAGCATTTCCCCTAGAGAGAGTAACAGAACATTGAAATTATCTTAGTGTGGGGCAGATGCAGCAAAACATTCAGTATTCCAAAGTCAAACAAACTCCTACCTCCAAATAATCAATACGTGCCAAAGCCCCCAAAAACAAAACCATACCAGGGTTCATTAGATACGTTCTCGGTGTAATGGCATGTGTAGGAACCACCAGCTTCACTTCTTGATCATTCAACAAGCTGAGCACCTGGAAAGTTGCATTTGGATTAAAACCCTTTGTGGCACATGATTCATAATGATAGATGTTTTAAAATAAGGGAACATATAAATTATTGCAGTTATGAACATAATTATATCACAGTACAGTTTGAATGAAGTACAGTTTGAATGAAGAGACTCACATCATGTTCTTTCATGATGCCTGGGGTGTCATAGAACCAGTGTGCATCTTTGATTTCATTGTATGTGAGCTCTGCGTCTGTGGAGGAGTCCAAGGACTGATTCTGTTTAACACCTTCCTCCGCGTCTTCTCCAAAGCTCAGACTGTCAGGATCAAACTCCACAAGGTCTTTCTTGAGTGACTGATTTGTACGGAATGTCCTCCCAATATGACCTAAAAAAAATAATAATAGAGAAAATGAAGTTGCCTCAAACTTAAAATCTATAATATTATATAACAATAAAATATAATATAATAATACAATTATATATACATACATACACACATATATATCATATATCACATTTTCCTTTCCTTCAGAGCTTAAAACTTGCACTATAATGAGAAAAAGATTATCTATAATCTATATTATTTTACCTAAATAATGATACATTTAAACATTAAAAGTAAACAAATAAAATAAAATCAATCGTTTTAAATGCTACAAGTGTATTTAGACATCACAACTTTATAAAGTACAGTATGAAAAATGTATATTAATTTTGTGCTTTTATTTAACACTATTATTTATTATTTTATAAGTGAAGTGTTTTTAAAGATGAACTTTAACTGAACATTAGATGGCAAAGGTTTTCTAAATATACAAATAGTGGAAATGACCATGCACAGTTACAGTTCCAATATCAGCCGATAGAGATGAATTAAAAGTCTCTAATATCAGAGAATATCTAGATACCTAAAAAAAAACTAAACTTGCAAACTCACCAACCAAGTATCCCTGCTTGCTGAATTGTTTGATTCTCTTCAGTTCTTGAGGATTCATGTCCTCCTCAGTCAAAAGAGACGCCTGTTTAAGTCTCTCCGCCCGCCTGAACATCCGGTAGGGGGTCGGGTTGATGATGGGGAACTTCAGCAGATTTAATGTTGTTCCTAGATTTACAGAGGACAGATAGAAATGTTTTAACAATTTAAATAACTTCGACAGCAATATCATTCATTAAACAGCCTAATCATTAAGGGTCAAGCGCATTAATTAAAAAGGTCTTTGTTTTCTTTTTTTTGTGCCTTGAAACATTCTGTTCTTATATACTTGTGAACCAGAACTGCAAACATTGCATTAATCAACATATTACGTATCTTATTCTTATGTAATCATAAATACGGTATCTCTGTCTGTAAAAGCAACCAATTAACTCAAAATCAATATCTCACCAGGCCATGGAGATATAGTAGCTTTATGGATCACATCTGAGGCTCTGGATTTGCAATAATCTGATTCCAGTAGAGTATTAAACAGCGTGGATTTGCCAGCATTGGCCGTGCCGACCAAATACACATCTCCATTGTACTTCCAGGTTGACTGCAGTCTTGATATAAGGTTTTCTATACCATAACCTGTTTTGGCACTGATGAGGTGGATGTCCTTGGTATCACTGGTAGAAATGCCCATGC